TTTCCTGCTGAGCTGTGGAGAAGAGTTTAAACCAGTAACACTTACTGTGAGCACTGCCCCTGTGTAAGTGTGCAGCTCTGCTCTGGAGATGTCCCTGCAGGTCACTGCAGCCAGTTGTGAACTGGTGGGTGGGGGCAGCCCAGCTTCTGTTTAGGAGCGTAAATTAGTGCCAAGACTTCCCAGATTGAGCAACGTCCCATGACGACGCTTTTAAAAGACTTCTAACTTCGAGCTGAATTATATTCTTCAGGCTGGAAGCATGGGAGGAGCAAACTTGCTTCTGCCTGCCCACAGCTGCTTACTTGCATGATAAAACCCTTGCTGTTGTCTAGATATTTCATTATACAAGTAAAAATGGTGAATGGCAATAACTGCAAATTAGACAAAGCCAGAGGTTCAGCTGGTTAAACCACCCAAACTGGGTGTCCATAAATTGCCTCCATGTTAATAGAAAGTTGAAATCTTGTAATATATTATTATGGGATTTTTTTTTTCTCCAAGAAAAGTTTCTTTGGTAAGCTGTTAGACATTGGTTTATGCCTTTTTTTAGTTTACCTGTTTACTCAGTACAGGGTCTGTTTAAGAACAGATATTTTTGCAAGTTTTTACTTACATACTAACAATGCTACAAACTCCAGCGTGCATAAATTTATACACTATTCACATGACTTATCCTTGTCTAGAGAGTAAGAATTCACCCTCATATTAATAGATCCAGGTTAGAGAACTGTGGAGAGCTATAAATATATTGGTGTAATACAATTTTTATGTCAGGCCAAGATCTTAAAAGATGGATTTGGTATTGCAGAACGTCAGGATGCTGGATTGCCAGGGCACATCCATGGGAAGATGTAGAACCAGGATGCATCAGCTTGGGAGCAGCATCCCATGACTGGCAGCAGGTCAGGACACCTGGCTGGCTCTCTCTGACAGCTGACAGGGCTCAGCTCTGCTCTTGCTGCACCAGCCTGAGCAGACCTGTCCCGCCTGGAGCTCCCAGATCAGTCACAGGATGCAACGTGGCACTGCTGTCCCACTGGCTGTGCACAGCACAGAGCTTTTCCCAGCAAATCCATGCCTGGCATAACAACAAATGGCATTCCCTGCTTCTAATAATCCTGGCCAAAGACTGGTTTTTAAAAGCCTAAACAAAGGCAGACAGGAGAGCTAGCACATTATCATAAACCCATAGATCATGTGAAACACTGAGTGGAAGAAAATTCTTTTGAGTTTGCATTTTCAGAATAGCAGGAGGGATTTTCTTTTATGTGAATTTGCTGTTTTCCACAGCCAAATTAGTTTCTCTTGCTGAGAAACACGCAAAAGAGAAAGGAAGCAGCACTTATGTCTGAATCAGCTAACTGCCTGGTCATACCTAAAATAGGAAAGAGCTACAAGAGAAGAAAGACCAGCAAAGTTGTGCTCTGAGAACAGATAATAGGAGGGTGTGGTGGTTTGGGCTAGACTATTTTGTGTTACTGTGCATCTTAAAGGTCATCATGTAGACTGAGAAACACTTTCAGCTTTCAAAGACTTTATAACTACTCACAAAAACTCTGAAGCAGCTAAGTCTACCCCATGCCTGTCTTTTCTCCCCTCCCTTTTTTTGGTAATATGTGTTGAAGCATTTGAATGAAGTCAAGAACTGGTGTTACTTGAAGCTTCATCTGTTTCTGCTGGTTTTTTCCCTCACTTGCAATCAATTACTTGTTCAGGACAAACTATGAACAGAAGATCTGTCTTAAGGAGGGAAGGAATAAAATGGCATAGATTAAATTCTGAACGACTCATACTCTCAGACAAACCTATGAAAACAGTAAAAAAAGCAAAAGCAAACAAGGGGAAAAATAGCAACACAGGTGAAATGTTCAGCTATTTCTGTTGGTTTATGAACTCATGCACAAATGCTTGCAGCAGAGGAAACACCACTAGCTGAAGGATGTATTCTTTGTAACAAGATGCCCTTTTGGGCACTTAGAACAACCGTTCTCATACATGCTTTTAGAATTACATTTTTAAATGGAATTTCAATTAAATTAAATTAATTCTCTGATGCCTGTACTTTTCTTACCTCAGTGTAGTTGTTTTAGATATATTTATAGACCTTACATAAAAAATTATTAGTTAATTGAATAATTAGTTAATCTGTCCCATCTTAACAAAATGTCGTGAACTTTGTAGACTCCCCATGAAATCCAATCTCCACCTCAATCTCATAAACCAAAATTAGTCATTTTCTTCCCTTATCAGTTTGACTTTTAACTGTCCTAAAGATTGATTTGTCAAAGCTCTTAAAAACAAATACCAAAAATGCAGCAAATCATAGCAGAATTGGATGGTAAGCAAACAGCCACAGATTCCTTCATGCCAATGCAAAGCAATAGCCAACAAAAAGTAATATTGGAAAATTCTTGCTACACAAAGCTTTTTGTAGCTCTGGGGTATGGTTCCCTCAGTTGCCAGGGACTATGTCACTATTTCCTCTTTTGTATTCACCTTCTGCCATGCCTTTCTTCCACAGGCTCCTCTTCCTCATTGCTAAGGACACCACACTACACACCAGCAGAGCAAAACAAGGGTGGAAAAAGAAATCAAACAGCAAATGCAATTAATCAGGAGAGATGGTAAGAAACCAAAACATCCTACCTCCCACAGAGATGGCTGAGTTCAACCCCTGCTCCAGCAGAGTTTATTGACTCCACTGTCAATTATTAATTAGGTCGTGCCACAAAATGCAGCCTCTGACAGAATCAATTCCCCACCCCACCCACCAAAAAGGAAACAATGGGATGACTTCCAAAGACGGTATCTACCTGACACTCTCTTTTTAACTCCACCCTGCCAAGCTGCTGATCTGGGAACAAGGCATAAAGGGAACCATGCCAGAAAAACAGGAGAGACAAGAAGATGTGCTTGAAAAGTCAAAATTTCTAAAAAGTTTGGTAGAAAAAAGTATTTGGTTTTGGTCATCTTCATGAGGAAGAATTTAAGTGAGCCATGGATAAATGTACTCAAAGTATTTCATACAAAGGAAAAACCATACAAAATTCCAAGCTGTCTCTACAATAAATTCAAGAGGAGAAAGTTTGCCTTTTACTAAAACTAATTCATGACTTACAAAGCATCTTTTCTTGTTGAATGGATTTCTATACATTTCTAAATCAGAGTGTTTCCTTTACCCCTTTAATACCACACTGTTTAAAGTACACTGAATAAACAACTCCCCCTGGAAATAAACCAAACCACATCTAATGTATAAGTTAATTTATGACTTTAAATATGACTGGCTAAAACTGAAAAAAAAACCTGTGGAAATATGATGTTAAGTCTGATAGCTATCTTGCAAGGAGTTTTTTTAATCTCAGGTTTTGAAAGTATATGCTTTCACTGCAGAAACACAAGGCTTCATATAAATGATTCCTGATACTAGAATGTATTTGCCACTAAAGAACTTAATGTTTGTAAATTAAGATATATATATATATATATATGTAAAAAAAAAGTATCACCAATTACCTAATCAACATAATGCTAACCACAAAAGAGTTAAAATAGGAGTAGGAAGCCACAGGAGCTGAGCCAAAGACACATTAGAAAACACATCTGATAACCAGAATCCATCTGTGGTCCCTGATAAAGATTTTTGAAGTGCAGCACAGACACACCTGCTCAGAGCTGACAGCAGCAAGGCTCAGGGGCTGCTGCTCCCCCTGACGGTGTCACCAGGAGCACAACCCCTCCCCACCCTGCTCTGTGCCTCTGTGGGTCCCAAGGATGGAACTGGTGAGAGTGAGCAAGAACAAGTGGAATGACACACTGCAGCCTCTGAACTTTGTGCTGCAGACGGCAGTCCTGGTGGGGAAGGCTGTGGGGTACAGCTGGTGACACCCCCCTTCCCACGGTCTGACAGTGGCACTGTGGATGCTTCTGGTTCCCAGCTGACTGAAGAAGGATGCCAAGGGACAGCAATGACCCGCTCTCGAGCCACAAAAGTGTGTGTTGGTATGTCTGGGAACACACACTTCCAGGAGAAGCTACCATCTCACCAGGGCTGTGTAGGCTGTTGGTTCCCTTAGGCTCTGAGCTCTAAAATGACGAAAGCAATCAGTAATGCCAGTGTACAGTGGGGCTGTTTCGATGGGCACTTGGCCAAGATCCTACCCTTGAAAGAGTTTAGAAGCTTTATTCTAAATTTATCATCAATTCCTTCCTAAATTGCCACTTCAGGTGCTATTCAAAGATAATGATTTCTATCAACAGCTTTCACAGGATCATCAGAGTTGAAAGAAACCTTCAGGATCATCTACTCCCTCGTCAACCCAGGTCCCCATAACCACCCCAAACCATGTCCCTAAGTGCCACATGCAGATGCCTCTTGAACACTTCCAGAGACAGTGACACCATCTTCCCCCGAGCAATTTATTCCATCACCTGCCACTCTTTCAAGGTAAAGTTTTTACTCTACTATCTAATCTGAACCTCGCTCAGTGCAATTTAAGGGCATTTCCTCTCATCCTTTCACTTGAAACACAGAAGAGGCCAACCCCACCTGCCTTTTATTTGGTTCAATTTGGTTTCGCTTTGCTTTGCTACATTTGAGGCCTTTCCTTATTAGCAAAACACCACAGTGCTGCAGGGACTTTTCTTCATATAAACTTGTTTTGTGTTTGGGGCGATTTAATTCTACCCTTGATCCTACTTGTCTGAACTAAGTCTGTGTGAAGAGCATATGCTCAACACTGCCTGTTTCAATTCGGAACAGTGGCTAAAACAAAAAGCTGAAACAACTTTGCGTGCACGTACCTGAAAAGCATATCTGAATATGCTTTAGGTTTCTTTAATTCAAAGGCCCCTCCGTACACTCTAGTCATGTATTTCTAATGCTGTTTCAGTGGGTAAGAGTGTTTCTAGTGATTTATTGATTAGTGCTGCAGGAGGTTTTCTTGTGTTTAGTTTTTTTTAACAGTGGTGATACTGGAGAAAGTCATCAATCCACTTACCAAAGCGATAGAAATTCCTATTTCAAGTATTTTCAAACATTGACGGAGTGAACAAAAATAATCGGACTGCGCTGGAGGTGATGTCAGTTCTACAAAACTTTCTTTCGCATATTTTAATTTCTTGCCATTTCTCTTCAGCTGTGGAGCAGAGGATTGATGGTGTCTGAAACAAAATGGTTGGATGCTGCCCTCTTGTGAGCCGGGCTCCTGCTCCAGAGACTGATCCATGACTTCTAAACCCCTTTTTCTGCAGAAAAAGCGGCAGATTCTCTTGTCCCAAACTCGGGTTTGGCTGTGGTGGCATTTAACGCGCCCAACCCAGCACCGAGAGCAGCAGGCAGGCTCCGCACTCTGCTTCACTGAAGGCCAACAGAGAGCGCCCCTGAACGAGAAAAACCGCGTCCCCTTGATTTGTTTTGATCGATGCCTGCTTTGAGGCCTGTTAGCTGGGGCTGTCAGAAGACATTACAGGCATTAATAACTCCCGTCCGGAGCAGGTCTGGGTTAATCAGCAGCTGCCATGTGGCCCAGGGACGGGAAAGGCTGCCGGGGGCTGTGAGGCGGCTCTGACAGCTCCGGCCCCATCGCGGGCCCAACGTGTCACAGCTGCTCCGGGGGCGCGTTCCCTGTCCCACACCGCTCCCGCCTCCGGGCTGAGGGAGCCGCTCCTCCGCATCCGAGTCCTCCTCGGAGCCCTGAACGGATCGTGGTCACAGGAATGCGAGTGGTCTGTAACACCCCGAGGAAGGGACAGGCTCCGTCCGAACCAGCTCTTTAGAGTTTTCTGTCAGCCTGAGCCCCGCAGCTGAGGAGCTCTGCCACAGAGAGATGGGCGGTTCAGAGGGGACAAAAGAGGGCCTGGATATCACTGAAGGCTCTCTGGGCAGTCACCGTGACTCTCGTCTTTCCCGAAGAGCCTTCCCCGAACCCCTTCTGCACCAGCACCTGGGGGGAAGCCTGTCAAGGAAACTGTGGTGGGTTGTTTTCCCTTCCAAACGTCTGATTTTAACACACAGGCGCTCCTACAGCGCCAGATCCCGCGCCCGCCCTCCCCAGCGCCGTGAGGGCTCGGCCCGCGCGCTCCCCCGGCGCGGCTCAGGCGCGGCGCGGGCAGCCCGCGGGTCCTGGCGGGCCGCTGCCGCTGCCGGTGCCGGTGCCGTACAGCATGGCGGCGCTGCGGCGGCCGGGGCCGGTGCCGTACAGCATGGCGGCGCTGCGGCGGGCGCGGCGCGGGGCCGGGTCGGGGTTGTGCCGTACGCTGCGGGCGCTCTCAGGTACGCGCTGCCCGCGGGGCTCGGGCCCGCCCGCAGAGGGTCCCCCGAGCCCTTCCCGCCGCCCGCCGTGGGGTCCCGCCGCGGTCGGGGGCTGTGACGGCCCAAAGCAGGAGCCGCCCTGTGCCCTCATCGCTCACCTGCGGCTTCTCCGCCGCCTCGCACCGCGCCGGGACCCGGGGCTGCTCCGCGGGGAGGCCGAGGCGGAGCAGGCCCGGCGTCCCTGCCACCGCCCTGCCGGGCACACGCGGCTCGCGGAGCCTCGAGGGTGACCCCGCCGACAGACCGTGTCAGGGCCGGCCGCTGTGGTGCTGAGACCTGTGTGGATCCCAGCTCCGTCTGTCTGACTGTGCAGAAGGAGCTTCTGGGGACATTGTGCAAAAATCTATTTTCCCACTTCGTTTGAGTAGCTTCATTTTCCATATTTTGTTCACAAAACCAGCCCAGTTAGTTTAGTGAAAAAACACATTGCCTTAGTACAGTCAAGAAAACCCAAATCAGCAAAAATCAATTGTAAAAAGCAGCGTGCTTTTTGATATTGCCCTTACATACCTCTCCCATCTTCCTTGTCTCTTTCTTTTCCTTCTGTTTTCACGTCCTCTTCACAGGAAAGAAGAATGAGTATGATCTTCTGGTCATTGGTGGAGGGTCTGGAGGCCTTGCTTGTGCAAAAGAAGGTTTGTATGTATAAATAACTTGGTTTAGCTTCAGTGGTGTTTAAGGAAGCTATGAGAAATGTTAGTGGTAATCCTAAAGCTTTCTAAGAAACACAGTACCTGCACATTAATCATTAACTCAGCTCTATATGGTTAATCTGTAAATTAATTCACACCCTGAGGTGGAGTGATCTTGTTTGGCTTTGTTGTTAACCTTTTAAAAAATATTTCTTCACTTGTCATGGGAAAATCTAACAAGCTTTGATTTCACTGTTCAACTGCTGTAGAGAACCTTGACCCTTTGCATCTCAGTGTAACGTGTTCAACAGCCTGCAGTGTTGTTGAACATCTCATTTGAGGTCAGTTTGCATTTTTAGGGTTGGTGGAAGCTGGAGACTCTAGTCTGGGTTATTAAGTGTCTTCTGGAGAATTTGCTGACTACATAGGCTGGTTGGGTCCCTGGTCTGGTATCTTGAGTTAGACAGTAACAAACACCAGCCATCACCTCCTGTACCCTTTATCTGTACCTGTGTTTAGGTTTGTGTGTTTCTTCCTCCTCTAAATACCTTATCTTGCTTTATTGTTTAAAGCTGCTCAGTTTGGAAGAAAAGTGGCTGTTTTGGATTACGTGGACCCTTCCCCACAAGGTATGGATGACAAATAATGGGGTAACAATAGCTGGAAATGCATGTAAAGCAGCTGCCTAGGTGAGCAGGTTGCTCCAGTCAGCAAAGGGGCCAAAGCTGCCTGCTTTGCTGGTAGTAAAAGTCTTTAAGCCCAGCTTGCAGTACAGCTCGTGCCCTCCAGCATGTCCCAGCTGTTCCTGCTTCCCCTGCAATTCAGCTTGGTAGCAGTGTTTGATGCTACCACTTGTAGTGGACTTTGGACTTAAACAAGAGAATATTCTCTCTGTCAAAATGTTACTTACAATTTCTAAAAATTATTAATTGCATCATGTTGAGGCTCTTCTACAATGTATAAAATAAGATCTGCAGATGTGAATGATTAGTGACTGGATCTTCAGAGCTCTGAAAACATCTTGAGATGGTTTGAATTTTAGAAGAAAAATATGCAGAGATGGTTTTTATCAAAGCAAATGAGCATAAACAAAGTTAGAAACTGATCTCTAGGAGATAACAGACTGTGTGTTGCTTCAGAATTTTTTAACTGCTGTGAACCCAGTTGCATTAAGCTACACTAATCTGATGCATTTACTTTTTTTTCTTTCTTTTTTTCCTTCTCCCGAGGAACCACATGGGGACTTGGTGGAACTTGTGTGAATGTTGGCTGCATTCCTAAAAAGCTTATGCACCAAGCAGCTCTTTTAGGGAGTGCCCTTAAAGATGCCCATCACTATGGCTGGAACATAGCCCAACCTGTTCATCATACCTGGTAAAGATTACTGCCCATCTTCACTCCTGTGTGCTGCAAATGCATAACAATAACCAACTTTTTGCAGTTGGTGTTTTTTGGGGACAGTTAGGGAAGTGGATTTTGCATGTGAAATTTTAGCTTGGTCCTTGTTTAAAACACAGAACTGTATTTACTGGTTTCTCAGGGCAGGTATGTTGGACTTGACAATTTATTTTCATAACAAAAAGTACCGTGGAACATTCCTAATTTCTAGCAATTGCCTGTATCTTTGAGTTGCATAATCTGAATTTGTAAAATGATAACTCCATGTTCAATGTCTTGTTTTGTGGTAGGTCTGTGATGGCACAAGCTGTTCAGAATTATGTGAAATCCTTGAACTGGGGACACAGAGTGCAACTACAAGACAAGTAAATAAGTCTTTGAAGTTCATCTTTCCTCCCATAGTCAAGGAGCTGCTCTTCTCCTTGTAGAATTGCAGAATTGCCTTTGAAGTTTCTCACTAGAGGTAGTATTTTGAGTTTGTGACTCCTTTCTGCTCAGGACTGTAAGTGCCCTTGTCAATTCAAGTGTTCTCCTCCCCTCCCACCTTCCTTTTCTTTTCTGGGAAGCAGTGGTTGACAGTGACCACACATGAAAGCTTTCTTGCAGTGCAGTGATCAGGGGATGCTCTCTTTAATCTGGAGAGGTTTTGCATTAATATAAAGTAATCAGGGTTTCTGAAGATACTTTTAATTTTATCCCCTGACATTTCTATGCCATACAAACCCACAGATAACACAGTGCTGGAGCAGAAGGGTTTTTTTGCTTTCAGTGCAGAAATGGTTCCAAGTTTTTCAGCATGCAGTTCCTTTTATAGAGAAATTATATTAATAGAAAACTTAGCAGGTTCTAGTCTTGTGACTCCTGCTGAGTCACTTTTGTGTGCTCTTAAATGAGCATTGATTAGTGATGCTATAGATAGTACTAGTCATGCTATAGCTAGTGGAAAATGTCGTTTGAAGAGGTCAATAACGTGATCCCAAAGTGTGTTACAAGGTTGGTTACTTTGCTGTTTAGAGGAGTTAACTGTGACACAAGAATTAAGTGGAATTAAGCTGCCAGTGTTGAGGTCCCTGAAATAAGATGCTTTGTTCCTTTTACTGCTCTAGGCCTATTTGCTGCCTTTTTTAGCAGTTCAGGTATGGAAAACATAGCTGATTGTATTTCATGGCTGTTGTTTGTTATGTGTGCACTGCTGATGCTGTTTGCTTCTCCAGGAAGGTGAAATACTTCAACATGAAAGGGAGTTTTTCCGATCCCCACACGGTCCGTGGCTTGACAAAAGCAGGTAAAGAGGTGAGCTGCTGTGCTGCTTCTGCAGTGTTGTTCACTTCAACTGTTTCAGGGCAGCTGGGAGTTGGATTGGCCCTTTTCAAATTGCTTTAGGTATTTGGGTATAAACAGTGTTGTTTTGGTGGGGGCAATTTGCATTTTCAGAAGTTATTTCTGAACTTGACTGTTGCCTGCTGAGTCCTTGGCCTGGCCTGTCAGATGCCATTGCTCTTCTCTGTGGGTGGAAATGCTGAGACAAAAGATGTTATTTGATTTGGTCAGGCATACTGATGCTCTCAGAAATGTAAAGAGAACCATCACCTCGGAGCATTAGGTCAGTGTGAGATGTTCCCCTCCTTCAGGTGATTTGTAAGGGTGATCAGCTTTCTAATACCAAATCTGTGTGGGAGGCAATTCTAGTGAATGCACAGATTCCAGCAGCTGGGTCACATAAAGGAATGCTGGCCACTGCTGCATATTTAACAATACTGAACATGCATTTTTAACACCTTTTTGGAGTTAATATCCATTTGAGAGAGCAAAGGTTTTTTAGGGTAATGTCTAGGGTTTTCTAAAAACATGCTGCCTTTGAGGTAGCTTAACTCTGGGCCTGACTTGCTGTGATCTTGGTGTGTTTTGTCCTAAGCAGAAATCAGTTTTAAAAAGTTGTTGTTTGTGCTTAACTGTTGCTTCCAAGTAGTCATCAGAATCTTGCTCAGTATAAGAACAGTTGGAGGTTAATATTAAAACAAAACCTGATAGAGAATGAGTAGGAGAAACTCCTGCATGTATTAGTTTATTTTATCTTCATCCTTTTTTTAATGTATTGCTGATTATGTCTTACAAATAGCAGATGGTAGTGCCAGCTTCCTCATTTATTACTCCTTTGTACATAGATGAAGTCTAAAGACAGATAAAAGAATTTCAAATGGTTTATTTTGATTTTTTTGTTTTTGTTTGTAGACTATTGTTACTGCAGATAATATTGTCATTGCTACTGGAGGAAGACCAAAGTATCCTACACACGTAAGTTACCCTTCCATCTGACAACTGCCATGGCTTTGCTGGTTTTTGTAACTGTATGTGCTTCAGATCACAGTGAATGTTTGGAGGATGTGGATATAAAGTAACACATGAGAGATTTTTTTACTCCTGTCATACGAAAAATTGTCTTTATATAAAGGAAAGCTTTTTAGAAAAACATTTCCATAGAAGACACTTTGCATCAGTTGAGTCTGTTGATGTTGCTCAGAGCTGTGGGATAATTCAGGTTGGAAGTGCTCTCTAGAGGAACTTTAACTCAACCTCCTGCTCGAGGAGCTTGGGGTCAGCCATGGGGTCAGGTCACACTGCTCAGGGCTTTTGGAAGATCTCCAGGGACAGAGGCTGGATAACAGATCTGGGCAACCCCAGATGTGTTCCCCTTGGTGTGCTGGCTGTCCTTCAGCCCACACAGCCCAAATTGCTGTTAGCTTCTTTTGCTGCCAGGATTTACGGTGCAGATTCAGGATCTTACCTGTGTGGTCACAGATTGCAGGTGCACTGCAGTATGGAATCACAAGTGATGACCTGTTCTGGTTAAAGGAATCTCCTGGAAAAACGTAAGTTCCGTTACCATGGCTTTCATAGATGCTAGCTTTCATTCTTTTTCTGTATAGCAAGGTGAAAAATGTTCAAAATTGCCTTTTATACACCAGTTTTATTTCTGTTTTCCTTCTGAAATTGTGCTTTTCTGTGCATCAGCATCACACTACCAACCTTCATTAGTACCTCATAGATCTTCCCCCTCCTCCTCTTATGAAACTCCCTTCTAAAATCAAATTAAATACGAATTTTCACCGTGTTAGGTGGAGGCGACTTGTTTGCTGTAGCGATTACACACAAAGTCACAAGAGGGCAGCATGGACTCAACCAAGGGCTGCTCTGTTCCCCTTCCTCACCACAGGAGTGTGCAAAAGTGCTCTTGGGTTAGGGAGGAAACTCCAACTTAACTTTATATTCTCTTAAGTGGTGGCAGTTCTGATAACGAAAGAGAATACGATGAGACATTTGGGTTGGTTTTGCCATTTTTTTTTTGCTGTGGAAGCTATTGTTTGACTGAAGTATTAAAATATTGGTTTTAATGAAAATACTAAACCACCATAGCTGTTGTTTTTTACAGCCCATAGCACAGTAAGATTCTGAGTCAACACTGCACTACAGAGAAAATTCCTGGTGCAAAACGTTGTGATAGGAAATGCACATTTGCTGGCACGAAAGTCAGATAATATTATTTTTCCTTTTCTCTATTGAGCAATTCTAGAAAATGCAAAGTATATATAAGAAAAAGAGACTTCAGACTGTAATACTGGTGGTTTTGAAAGACAACAGAGTTGCCATTCACGGTGGTGATTTTCTAGAATAAAAAATGCATTGTGTTAAACATCAAATAGATAAACAAGGCTCCTTGGTACAATTTTAAAAAAAAGTAAATTTGCTGTTGTTTGTAGTATATCAGTCACCTCTTGAATTTTGAAAGCATGATTTATGCGAGGAAATTGTTTTTTTAAAGAAGCAACACCCACACCAACACTCCCCCAAAAGAAACCCAAACCAAAACATAAGATTTATCCCTCTAAGATGTTTCTGTGAAAATGTGGCTTTTGTCCAGTTGCTGCTAATGCAAGTTGTAACAGTGTAATGTGGGAGTCTAGTGTTTATATGTTGCATTCCTGAGATTTAGTCAAAATAAGCCTGCAGGGGCTACAGTAGCATTTCTGTGCTTTATCAGGCTGTGTCTTAGCAAATGAACGAGGGAGTTGTTAAAGGTTTGTTTCTGTCGGATTTATTTCTATTATAAATATTCCCAAGGTTCAGTTTAACACCTTTTGTTTTTAGTCTGAGCTGTGTTGTACTTATTCTTTCTTTTCTCCCTCTCCAAATGTACATATCTCAGCTACAAATTACATGCCTGGAGGTTATAGAACTGTCAGTCCTGCAGTTATTCATATTAGAAAAAAAAAAGTAAACTGTTAAACAACTTAAAAGTCCCTTAGATATACAAACATGGGAAGAAATTCTCGCTACTGAGACGAAGGGTTTTGGCAGAGTGAGTTAGAAAAGATGCTTTGAAATGTGTTGAGCATGAGTGAGAGATTGAGCAGGTGTGAACAATGTTAGGCTCTGCTTTCCTAACTTCTCTGTTAGACTCTGACAATGCTCAGGAACCCCCTGCTTTGTGCAAGGAATTCTGAATTATGTGGTGCTGATATTATGAATAAGTGCCAGCTGACATCTATTTTTCATCTTATGACAAAGAAGAGCAAACATATGCCCAAATTACAGATACTCTCATTCTGTTCCCTGTGAATCTCCAGCACATATTTTCTTTATGGGCAGCACGTGGCACTTTGCAGCCCTGCCCAGGAGCTCCATGCCAAAGGAGGGGGTGATCATCCATTCACACATGAATCAGATGCCCTAATGCTGGAAAAATGAGTTCCCACTCTGCTAAATTGTTTGCCAAACACAAACCCCAGACTAGCAGATTTTAATCGCTTTAGCTCAACCTGTTCTTTGTACACCTTCAGAGCTGTGTGTTTTTATTGTAGGATAGAGAGATGTTATCTGGGGTCTTTTGTGAGAAAACATGTGTTGCAGTGACTGTGCAGTCCCTGGGGCTCCCAGAGCAGCAGCCTCCGTGTCTGCACTGCTCAGAGGTGTAACAGCGTTGCTCTTACCCTGGGACATGGTGCACACTGCTTTAGGGTAAGGCATAGGGCAAAAGCCCATTCAAAAACTCAACAAAATGCTTTGCTGTCAGTGGAAATCCTTTGTGGGATTCCTCCCCAAAGTGTGGGATTGTAACGAGTCTGCAGAACACACGGACAGCAGAGCAGAGCCCGGGCAGCCTGTGCAGCAGCTGAGTGTGCATGGCTGGCTGCTGGGACCCGCCTTTGCTTCCAGAGCAGGGACTGGGATCCTGCCTTTTGTCCCCAGCAGAGGTGGGAACTGAGGATCTGGTCAGGAGAGAGAGGGATGTGCAGCATAGAGGGCATCTGGGGACAGGCACAGAAACTGCTGTGCTGGAGAGCTGATCCACCTCGTAAACTGAAAGTGTTGATGGACAAGTTCAGTGATATTCCTGGTTGAAAGGGTGTGAAATATGGGGAGAGAAGGGAGCTGGAGTTTTATTTAAGAACTAAAGTGGATGTATTTGGTAAATACCAGTCTAGGTAAATCTATTAAACCCATTTTCTATAGTTGTGTACACAAACGTTTGGAGACAGGAAGGGCAAATATTTGGCATTTGGAAAAATAAGATTATTAAAAAGCAGATGGTTATAAATCAAAATGAAATTTAGCAATGAATAAAATCTGTAATAAGAACTGTAATCTACTTGATGGGAAGACATAATCTACTTGATAGACTGTCCCCATGTGCTGAAAGACGAGCTGTCAGAGAAGATTGGCCTGGCTGAATAGAGAACTTTGGCTGGAACTCAGGGAAAAAAGGAGTGTTTATGCCCTTGGGAGAAGGGGCAGGGATCTCAGGAGGACTATAAGGATGTCGTGAGATTATGAAGGGAGAAAATTAGAGTTAGGATTTAATCTGGCTACTGCTGTAAAAACCAGTAAAAATGTTTCTATAAATATGTGCTTCAGAAAATAATCTTTTGGTTGTGCAAAAATATGCACAAGCTCATTCCACTGCTTTATTCCTCTTTCCTTTTTGTGTAACAGGTTGATTGTTGGAGCCAGCTGTATCCTTTGGAAAACCTGTGATGATCTATGATTATAAGCAGCATCGCTGTCTTTCCTATGAAAGCTCAGTTTAGGGAATTCCTTTGGTCATGCCATATAGTTGAGTTGAAGTAGCATCATGGAAATTAAGGTCAGCTGAGGATAAATTCTTGGGATCTTAAAACCAGTGTTAACTATGAGGAAAATATTCTAAGACTTCCAAGTTTTATTCTGAGTACAAAAGCAAGCTAAAGATGTCTGTGTGAGGAGAATTTGGTATCTTTAGGTAAAAATCCCACTTGTATACTACCCTTTTATATTGTGTTTACATGACATCATTGTTTGTATTTCCCTAACTGGTGATTCACCAGATGTTTCCCTTGAATGTGCTGGTTTTCTGACAGGCATTGGACTGGACACTGCAGTCATGATGAGAAGTATCCCACTTCGTGGGTTTGATCAGGCAAGTATGGAATATCTTACAGTGTAGGAAAGTTATTTCCATGTGTGAGAGCACAGTTTCTGAGGCAGGAGTGTTGCTGTTAGAAGCAGCAGTGACAAGCACCACAGCAGGCAGTGACAGCTCCTGGTTGTGTGCCAGCCCCTTCCACTTGGAAGTAGCTTCCTTGAAACCAGCAGCTTGTATCCCTAAATTGGGGCCATGAGTGTGCAGAACATTGGATAGGAACAGTTCTTGGGATTTGCACCCGTCAGTGCAGAAATGAGCCCTGTCCCAGCCCAGGGAACAGTGTGTGTGGCACTGGGGAACCCCCAGAGTGGGGCTGTCTCTGACAACCTGATCCTCTGTGGGCAGGAAGAGCACAGCAGACATACCAAAGGTAATAAAGTATTAATAGAGAGAAAGTCATTATGTTCAGTCTGCAGCCACATCGAGTCTGATGGCACCTGAGCTCATGTTTCTGAAGAGACACAGCCCTGCTGTTGCCTTCATATTAGTTAATATCAAAATTCTGTAAGCTGGGAACTTGCACCTAATTGTTCTCTGTGAGTGGTTTTGTGATAATATCCTTCAAGTGATAAACATATTCTTTAATAAAGTGCAGCCTGAATGCACTCAAGAGCACTGCCATCTTTGGATAAACCTGTCAATGTGACACTTCACTGCTTGAGTGTGGGGTGGCATTATTTCAAACAGGCTCTTAGGACAAAAGCATTATTTCCTTTTTGTAGGAGAACTTTCCGTGAAGCCTTAGTGATTCATAGTCATTGCAGGGAAATGTCAGGTGTCGTGGCAAAGGGAAATATTTTTCTTCCATTGTTTTCTGAAAGTATTTAATTTTCATCAAACTACCAGAAAATGCTCTAGATGCTGGTTTGGTATAAAAGCAAATGATTTAAAAGCAAATGATTTAAAAGCAACTGTTCTACTGTTTTACTTTTTTGAAAATAATTGGAGTATTCAGATATAAATGCCTCTTGGAATGGAGTTGCAGGTCGTAGTGGCTCCATAAACTATCATATGATGGCAGTGCATAGTAACTGATTGACAAGGAATGTTTGAAATGCACACTGTACTTACTGGATTTTCCTGAACACAGCTGAAGGAGGGTTTTACATTAAAAAGGTCATATATCTAAGGATAAACAATTTGTTTTCCCTACTTAACAGCAAATGGCATCTTTAGTAACTGAGCACATGGAATCTTACGGCACCAAATTTTTAAAGAGATGTTTCCCAACCAAAGTTGAAAAACTGGAGAGCAACAGATTGCAAGTCACCTGGAAAAATACTGACCTGGGCACAGAAGAAACGGATTCCTTTGACACTGTGATGTGGGCAGTAGGTAAACATGATTGTCTTAGCATTTATGTGCAATGCTTTCCATTCTGAAAATGAAGACACTTCATGTTGTCTGGGGCCAAACAGGCTCCCACTTTTCTGTGTATTAAATACTTGGTGACCTAAACATTGAAAGTGGTTTAATTCTTGTCTGGCATGCCTGACTTGTTCATTTACAGTCTAAAACCACATTAAGTTACAGTGAGTGAAAGAAGTCAATGGTAACTACTTTTGCCTGAGCTGCAATAAATGGGGACCTTGTGGTTTTCCTCACCTTTACTGGAGAGTGAGAACGTGAGTTCCAGCAGCTCTGGGGTGCAGGTCGTGTGCTCTGAGTCCATGCTTTTGTTTTGTTCATGAAGCTATTCACTACAAGTGCATATTTATCCTCTTTAAGAGCCTCCCATTTCTTCTTTTTCTAAACTGTGGTGCTTAAGTTTGTTGCTGCAGCCATCATCCAATTCAGAGAAAGAGAAGTAACTGTGTCTAAAAATCCAAGCTCCCTGCAGGGAACCTTTAAGGGTTCCCTGGTTAAGTCAGCTTTATATCTTCCTAATACCCCAAAAGAGTATTAGTTGGTTGTTTTGACAAATGTTTTCTTTTCCTTACTGTGACTACTATTCTCTTAGAAGTGCAATGGGCTTCTATAAACTGTGGAAACAGCCTATAATAATGGATTATTCTCACCAGAACCCATCAAAGAGACTAGTGCTTGCCAAGAGTAAAAAACAAGGTTATGCTATCTGGAGATGTGACAGTCCTGAAAACTGTAGAATAATATTCATGAGGTGAGATGAATGTTTCCAAAAAGAGGGTTTCTAAATGCTGTATTTGATTTTCTCAAGCTTTCTGGTAAAAAAGCCAGACCATTCTATGGTCCTGTGAAAAGGACACTGAGTTGGAGTCACACATGTGCAATGACAAGTCAATTTGTTTACTTTTGTCTTTTTTACTTTGGATGGAAAGAAGAGCTATCAGATTGAAATAATAATAAAAAAAAATCTCTGTTTGGTGTTAATTATAATGGAATAAGGTTGCATGATAGACTGTTGCAGTGTGAGTCCACTCACTAATTTGATAGAGGGACTACCTGTATTATAATTTTTGTCATAGATTTGAGTTACAATCCATATTTAGAAACTGCAAAATGAATAGTTTGAGGGTTTAGGGGGTTTGTGTTGCCTTTTCTTTTAGTGTTCACATTGCCACTCCACCCTTTAGGATTACACACATTAACAGTTAAAGCTGGTTAATTGATGTGCAGTCGTATGATTCATTGTTTTGCTCTGTATCAACACACCCACACCAGGTGTCTCAGATAATAGGCTGGGAAACTCGGTGGTGTTGAGGATTTCCTGTCTGCAGATGTGCCAGTTACAATACTGATTGAGGCAAATCAGCTTGGAGAGTTAGTTAAAAAGCAGCCGCTATTGTTAACTAATTGTAGCCTGAATCATACCACATATTTCCTTGATTTTTGTAAGTGCATTGTGGAATTTTAGTAGGATTTTATGAATAGTGTTAAAAATATTTACTGGCAGTGGGACATAGTTTGAGTTTGATAAGCTACAGTGCTATCTCTTAATGTAAGCCTATAAAAAAAAATTTTTTTTCTGTGAAGAATTTTGTTTTGCTTTTGGAATGTGTGATTTTCTGCTTGTGTGGATAAGCCAGTAAAAGCAGGCACAGTGCCCTCTTTGTTTTTCTAGCAGCTTTTTTTAACTAGTCAAAATATTTGAGGGGGGGGGGAAGAAATCTCATTTTTATATGTTTTAATGTAATTTAAAAGTTTCAATTCAAAGCTTTTGTAGGGTACTGTCATGTAGCTGTGATACCTTGCTGAGTGACCATACTGATATATTCCAGCTCAGTGAAAGAGCTCATTCTTGACCTTTATTTGATTCTGCCTGTCTAGCTCAGTAATGTCCTTCTGTCTTGCCTGAGCTGTCTTCTGCTTCTTGAGAATTCTCCTGAAATGATAAGATTTTGAGACTCAGTTCTACAGTGAACAAAAGAACAGATAAACTTTTCCTGTTCTCTAGTATTCCCCCTGCCCTTAAGGACACACAAAAAATGTCTCTGTTAGATGCCTCATGTACCTGAGTGCAAAGCAATGGTAGATTTGTGCATGTCCAGAGTGAACAGGGGGGTCTTCATCCAGGGAAAAGGGATGGACACCTCTGGAAACAGCTGCAAGTGCTGAGCTGCAGGACAAAGGTGCAGGAGCTCAGGCTTTGTAGGGTGGGTTTGTTTCAGCTGTTGAGGGGCTGAAACCTGTGGGCTGAATGCTGCAATTGCAAATAGCTAATGTATAAAAAGAGTTGGTGAGTAATATTGCCGTTGGAATTTGCAATAGATGGGAAAAGATCACTGCTGGAACTGAAAGCTGATTATTCACAAAGTCCTTAGAAGAGACCGAGAAAGAACCATCTCTAATGGGATCTTAATGTGTAGAGGAGCAACATTGAACTGATGATTTAACTGAGCAGGTTTTCCAAAATCCTGGAATTAGTTTGGCAGAGAATGTGAGGCTGTGTGTTGGTAAACTGTCAACAAAAAAAGCAGTGACCAGTGGCAGATTTTAAGTTTAGCTTCACAAAAAGAGTTTTCTCCCTGATGAGAGCAATGGAACAACCATTCCCAAGTTCCAGTGCATTTGTCAGCTCAGAGGAACACCAGTGTGTCTGACACAACATCAGCTTTGCTTCCAAACAGAACACTGGCTTTAGCTCAGCGTGGAGCTGGAGGGTCTCAGGGGTTGCACAGCTCGTGCTGTCGAGGGGATCGTCCTTTGTGTCCCACTGCAGATTTGCTGGATTTATTCTGCCATGCAGTTAAACAAGATCCTCACTGTTCAGTATCAACAAAGGGTTAAGTACATAACTTTTTTTTTTAGTAGTAGTTTTCTTCAACTCTTACAACCACACTGGTTTGGATTAACTAGGGAAACAGAAATTTTGTTTGGAGATTTTCTTTGAAAAGTCCCATATGGTAAAATATTGCTGTGATCTCCTGTAGGCCATACAGAAAAGGGGATGGGCTTTAGATTTGTCTTGGCAAACAAAATCTTGCTATCCAGTTTTTAACCTTTGAACTATTCAGTGAAAAATAGTGCACCTTGGTTGATCTCAGACAACTGTTAATGTGATGTGGTTTGCTGGGTCTTTGTTCTGAGCTTCCCATGTCTGTCTCTCTTATTAGTTTAAATTCATTACTGTCTTGGTAAGATATGGTTTTTGGAATTGTAATGAAAATTGTCGTTCCCATTACATCAGCCAGTGCTTTTAGTTTTTCCCCCAATATCTAGTTTTAATGACATTCAGTCAGACTCCATTCAACAAGGCTATTTTTAATGTGCTGGTCATTTGTTTGCATTGACAGAGACCCTTCATTTGTTTAACCCCCCCATAAACTTTGAGTGTAACTCTTATTTTGTGCTACTTATTTTACCAGCTTGTAACTACAAAAATCACCTACTCACGTTGAGGAGAAGTTATATTGTAGGCTTTGCCTCTAATCTGCATGTGAAGAAGGTTTTGGATTGAGAACTGTTTCAGCACTAAGGTGCTATTTAAGTTGGTAGGTGATGGCTAACCTTTACGTGAATGGTGGTATAAATAAATAAAAAATGGTGGAAAATGCTCCAAAGTAATTCCTTGAAACCAGTATAGTTCCTGACATTTTGTGCAGAATACAGGTTATGTCAAAAGGGGATGGTGATTGGGTGCTGGTTTTTGAGACTGCAGAGCCATCCTTTGAAATAAAACCTTTGGTTAAAGCAAGCTTGGCGTGGGAGAATTAATGTAAGAGTGAACTGTAGCTTTCTCCTCAGGAAATGTTTCCAGCCCACTATACCTTGTACAGGAGCTTGAGAACAAAACAAATGGAACTGCTACAGGTCTGTCCCGTGCTGTAAGGTTTTCCCTTGGTTGCTGTAAGGTTTGCCTTTGGTTGCATGTCAGCTGGAGTTGCTGTTGGGGTTGGTTTCGATGGGATCACACTGACACCTCTCCAGACACGAGGAACATCAGCTGTGCAGGGTGGGCACGGTGGGTGTTTGCTGAGCACACCGTGGCTACCACGGCCCTTCTGCTCCTCACCAGGGCTGCAGGAGAGACCTGGCACAGCCCAGGGACTGCCCCAGCACTGACTGAGGGCCACATCTCTTTGCAGATTGTGGCAGGCATGCTGCAAGTTTATCAGTAGTGGATGTAAAGTTCAAAAGCTTCCTTGTAGAACTGGTGCACACTGCTATGTGTGCAGTGCATGTGATATGAGTCCTGAACTTTTTTTTTAACCTTACTTAGTATTACTCCTGTCAGAATTTTCTTGTAATCTGAACAGTAGTTACAATGAATTGGTCTTTATTAGCCATTGTCAGCTGGCTGTGTTTTAGTGAACACCCTGTGGCTTTGAGGAGACGTTTGAAGGAGGAAAGGGTAGTGGTCTTAGGTCTAATTTGGGGAGTATGTCAGGCACCCAGAACAAGGTGAGAGACAGTACCAAGACTGGGAACACAGAGATTTTGATTAAGGTCAAACTGAGGTCAGATTGGATAAAGTTGTGAAGTGATGTGTCAAAATGTGTAGGGAAGAAGTAGAGAAGACTATTGGGCTTAAGCTTTCTTTAAGAAGAACCGTCCTGTCACCCTGCAGTATCCTCACAGTGGCCATCTGCAATAAAATGTATGGTTGGCTCCAATTTGGATTTTTCAAATGCTGGGAAGCAAACAGACATTCCAACTTCTGTGATTAAGAAACTGTGGAAGACCCATTATAAAATTTTGCTGTCAGCTGCACCTTTATCACCCTGGGAAATCTTACAGGATGCAAGACTATGCTATCACTCATTTACTGCTGCTCCTTACCTGGCTGTGCCCATTCCTCTGGTTTCTTCCAAGTTTAACTGTGTCAGTCTCCACTGTTGAAGGCCCTCCCCTGGAGGTCCCAGCAGTGCCACTGCCTCCCCCTTGTTGTGTGTGTGTGACTCCAGATCCCCTGCCAGGGGATGGCACAGAGAGGCCACATCCCAGCACAGCCAGCCCAGCAAACATCTGAGGTGGTGCTTCAGCCACTCTCCTGGCACTCCCTGGAGATAAACTGGCTAAAAGCCCCCTTAGGAAGCCGTGCTCTTAGATTTTACAAAAACAGATCAAAAAGCTGGTTTTTCTTTTAAAGTTAAAAGCAAATGGGGACAGGCACTGAAAGCAGGGATGTGTGTGGTTGTCACAGCTGTGTGGTAAATGTATGGTTTATTAAAGGTGAGATGATGATGTGTAGCAAGTGCAGGAGGCAGATAACCTTTTTAAGGTTAAGATTTCATTGGACTTTTCTTCTAAATGTCTGGCATAATATTTTGCTAAAATATTATGCTAAATCTAATCTTGTGTCTTATACAATCATAGACTCCTATTCTTTGGTAGTCTCAGGGCAGGGGACATCATCAAGTAAAAGCACACGTGCTGACTTTAGGGGAAGGATGGGGTTGTGTCCTTGGCAGGATTTGGTATAGGTATTGTCCTCTGGATCTTAGAAACAAGCTGTAAAGTCGTGCTTTCTTGAAGCTGAGGATGTAAAAACACTGAGGAGTTGTGGGTATGAAATGGATGTCCTACTAAGAAATGGTGAGAGCTGATTCTTTGATACATGTAAGTGAATGTTGGGAAATATCAGAATTTCCTGAATTTGACATTAAAACTTCACGAGATACATTGTCTAATCATGACCCTAAGCTACTGGATTTGAGATGAAGCAAGATCAGTAAGTGTAATTCTGATTTATGGAGGTGGGCCAGCGTGGGGCTAAAGGCCAATAAAGCTTCAGTTCAGTGTTTTAAAGTTTCCTTTTTGCTTTCAGAAATAATATTTAGGCAGTAAAATTGAGAGAGAAATTGCACTATGAGTAGCAGGATATTTTTTTGTAACTCTTAGCTATTAATACCAAGCTGTACACATGTTAAAATAGACTGGAATGGAAAGGTTAAGTGTTATCCTGCAGATTTGATAAACTCATCTGTTGTTGTCACAGGTCTTTAAGTGACTCTATTGACAGTTTTTCTTTTTTTCCTCTTTCAGTGCCTGCCATTGCGTGCTAAGCTTTTCTCTTGGCTCTGCCTGGCAGGAAAAAGGGGAAACTAGAAAACCCCATTAGTTGTCCATTTGCAGAATACCCAGGCTTTACTCTCAATACACAAAGAAATACAACGGTAGGAAGTTGTTTCACATCCGAGCCAAGATAAGGTCCTGGAGGTTTATTATTTTTGTTGCCTGATAGCATCAGGACTGGGGAGCAGGGGGCAGAGAAGGAACAGCAGATCAGCATCCCATGGGGACAAGAGGAGGGAAGACAGACAGATAGCCAAGTGCCGACAGCTTCAGTCAGTGCTCCCAGAGGAAGTGTTGGTTTCTCCAGATGAAATTCATACACAGGAGTCTTTACAGGGGCACTCAGATGGGACATTGTTTGAGGGGCCTGCCTATATGGCAGATGTAGAAAGCAGTGAATCATATGTTTACATATAATTAGGTCTGTATTGACAAGCCAGGTTTTCCTTTTGTTTAATAATTTCCTACATTAACATCAAAGAGCTTGTTTTCCTAATGAGAACACATTTCCCTTTTTGTTTTGCTTTGCTATAGCTCTGTATTAACATCAAACGCAGCCCGTGACTCACGCAAAGGAGACCTAGAAATGGACAGATATCCACACTCATCTAAAGCCTTAAAAATAGATGCAATGCTAGCAAATGTCCTTAATTTGGATATAATCAGGAAGTGTTTTTATGTGACTCTGTGCATCCTTGCAGATTTTGGGGGTACCTGGTTATTTCACTGTGCTTATTAACTTTCAAATGCATTTGAAAAGTTGCATAGGATTTAAGATTGCAACTTGTGGGTCAGAAATTGCTTCCTGAAATACTTGATAGAAAACTCAGTGTAATGGTAAGACTTCAGTGGTCTAAGTGGTAACTGTGCAGAAAACACTACAGAAGTATGTTTTTTGAAGATGAGATAATTTGACATCATTGGAAGGGGAAGATGTAATAAAATGTAGGCTTGGTAGGAGTTGCCTCATGTGTTTTTAAATGCATTTAAAATGCTGTTTGTAAACTCTACAGAAATAACTCAAATACAGAGTTTGAGCTAACTAACTCAGCACTGAGGACTTGAGAGCAAAGTTGATCCAGTTTGTCATCCAAACTGAGGGAACTAAAAAAGCTTTAGGATAAGTGTGTTCAGATAACAAGAAAAGAGGACTTAGCAATGTTTTATGTTGAACAGCGTTATGAACAATTTTTGTCAACAAGTATGCACAACACACTGTTACCATTGAGTGCCATTCAGTCAACGTTCATGGGAAATTCTCAGTGTAGAAGTTACTTAGCTATTATATGTATATTCGTGCTACATTAGGAAACTGAATTTAGAATGTTCAATAAATTACAAACCACGTGTGTTTGGCACTTTTTGCAGTGGGTGTTGTCCTCCATATTTCTAAAGGATGACTTCCTCTGGAATAGTCTGAGCAAAGGCAATAGTGATTGAGCTCCTCTGAGCAAAGGAATTCATATCCATACTTGCCACCCCTGCAGCTTTCCCAGGATGAGATAAGTTTTGTCATGTTTCTGCTTGGGCTGTTACATAACGGGAAGTTCTTGGAAACCCACAGTGGAGGATACCAGCTTTTTAGATTAACACTGCAGATGGTTTTCAATAGCTTTCATTTCTTTTTTTTTTCCCTTAAGGCCGAGCCCCTGACACTAAAACTCTCAATTTGGAGACAGTTGGAGTGAAAACTAATTCTGAAACTGGAAAGATTATTGTTGATGCCAGTGAAGCTACTTCTGTTCCTCACATTTATGCAATTGGAGACATAACCGAGGTACTGAGTCTACATAAACTATTTTACAATAACAGGAAGCCAACTTTGTTCCTGACTAATAACTAGTCCCCAGATGTCGTCATGCCCCAGCATATATCTTGGTGTTTTGCACTTTTTCCTTTGGCAGAGCTGTGGTGTTTGTGCCAGGACCTGGGTCAGTCATTTCCTTCACATGGATCCTGTGAAGTGTCTCAGCATGGGAGATTATTGCTGATGTTTATCAGGGAATGCATCATTGGTCAGAGGCTAATAATGATGTCTTTATCACTTCAATTATCTTCCTAATAATGTTTTTGTCACTTTAGACACATGACCTAATGCTGCCTGTGAATGCTGAGTGAAAGCAGTTCTTGCCTTCTGGAGATGAGCACACTCGTGGGAATGACTGTGACAAGTTCTGTAATTCCATGGGTAGTATTTTGGGTGTCAATCCAGACTAAACACAAGACAGCTTTTCAGCTCCCTGATGCAAAATACTTCTGACAAAAGTATCTTCCTCAAGAATAAGAAAAAGTAATTGCTGAAAATACTAAATGCTTTTGACTTCTGTTCACGATTTGTGAATGATTATGCCAAGGAAAAGTGAGTTATGTGGATTTGTTTGTTTGTTTTTTAAGGAGGGGACATTGTAACCTAAGCAATATAATCTAAATACTGTAGCAATATCCAGACATAATGTATAGTATAATTTTAGAGACCTTTGAAAGATTTCTCGTTCTGCCATGTTTTAAATGGTTTAAGGGTCTCTCAGATATAAACCCTACAGGTGCCCTGAGTTTTGGAAGGGATGTAACAGGTTAGATAATGTCCTGGGAATAGCCCTGCAAATCTCTGACTGGACTCTGGAGCTGCCCGGGGCACTTAAATCACAGAAGTCTGTTGACCACTCCTGACCTCTTCCCTCTGTGTAGACATGTGTTTCTTCCTGGCCATCTCCATCTTCTTGTGAATGACTTGCCATTTCCTTTTAAATTGTGTTAAAACTCTTTCCTTTTTAGCTATTTCTCCTTTTTTTTCCCCTTTTTACTCTGCAAAGCTTCTGTCCTGTCCAGTCACTCAGAGTTTTGGGATTTTGTAGAATTCCTGTCCTTTCTTCTCACTTCACATGCAGGTTCCCTCTGTACTTGTCACTTCTTGCTCTGGGATATTTCCTAAAGTCCACTTTTTGCTCACAATGGCCTCCTACACCTGCTTGTCCCTGATAAATATGCCTTGCTTGGGCCTCCTGCTTTCCAAACTTCTCTGTTTGATTCCATCCATGAAGCAGTTGTTAGAGGCAATGCTGACAGGGCTTAGATTCTGCTGCTTATTTTGCTGCCAATCTGCAGTGTTATTTTGGGCAAGTCATTTCCTTTTGGGTGCTTTTTGTCTTCTCCCCTTTGAGGATTTGGTTAAGTAAGAAATATAAAGTTGGAGGCAGGATGCTCTCCTCTTTCTTACTCTGGATCTAAAAAATATTGTATTCATTTATTTGTCATCTTTATTTTGTTGGTTAAAGTTGGATTTCCTTTTCCTGGTTTTGTCTTTATCAGTGCAGATTTTTGAACTTGAGTTATTCAATAGATACTTTTAAATGGAAATGTTAAAAACAGCAACACAGTTCTATGCTGTGTCCAGTGTACAACTGGGGAAAAATGAAGAGTTAAATCAGGTGCTCTGTAGAAATACTCTCTTAAGCTTTTATCTGCATATGGGCTCAATACAGGGAATTAAAGAAATCATGGTGTAGTAATCATACATTTAAAGTGTTTAGAGATAAAAGGAATTACTGCCACTATCTTATCTGACTGCAGCACACTGTGAGCTGTGTAATTCCACTTGCTAAGCAATTAAGTTTATTTTATTTGAATACTTAAATCCATTTAGGCCTTTTTTTTTTAAGCAGAATTAATTTAGATAATAAATCACATTGGCATGGGAAACAGCACTAAAATAAAGTTCTGTGTTGGTGCCCATCTCAAAGCACCCACACAGGAGAATGAAGTGCATCCTGCTGGGAACCACAGAAGCTGCAGAGCTTGAGGTGTGGTCCTGTCTGGGTGTGACCCACCCAAAGAGCAAGGAGGGGGAATCTCGTTTCCTCTGGGGGAGCATCAGGGATCCCTGAGAGTGATCAGAAGAATAAGATTATTTTTTCCCCAGGTTCCTGCTCAGGATTTCTCTCTGCTCCCCCTGTCAGAGTGTCTTTGTTACCATGCAGTGCTGTTCTCATAGTTCTGCAGCCTCCTCCCTCCTGAACAGCCCCTGGACTGCTCCCACCCGGCAGGGACTGCTGGTGGTGTGTGAATGCAGTGCCCTGGCTGGAGGGGAGAGGGGCAGGCCAGGTTGCTGATCACTCAGAACGACTGTTTTCATTTGGGAGTCATACCCAGCTGGTACCAGTGGGAAATTATGTGTGCCTGGGTGTCTTGTTGCACCCTTGTACGACAAATGGAATCCTAATGTTATCCAAGCTGTGCATTTGGAGAAAAGGGGGGGGGAATCTTCCAGACGTCAGTCAGTTTGTCTGCCCTCAAAAAACATTTTTCAAGCTTTGACAAAATATTATTTTCAACTGCCATGTGAAATTGCATTGTGGCATTTTCATCTTCTGTGATCAGGGTGAGGAAGATCAAGCTGGAATTTTAGTTAGAATTTTTTTTTTCAGTGCTGATATAAACTCCCTGTGTTCAGATTCTTCCTGCAGTAGTGCTGCTGTTGAAAAGCATGGCACACACCATAAAGACACTCTCAGAAGGAGGTTTGTCATATGGTCAGGCCGCTCCACATCTGTCATATTTCAAAGGGTTTATAACAAAGATGTGTAGAGAAGGTGGAATGTACAGTATGTTGCTTTGAATGGAAATGAGACCAAAAAGAGTTGTGTTAGAACAAATACACATTACTTCAAAGCTTTTTAAACTCTCTTAGGAGCCATCTCGTTTAAACCTATAATACATTGGAGGATTCTTATGAACAAGTCGTATCCATAATAATCAGTGGGGTAGTTCTACACATGACTGCAAAGTGAAGGTTAATTTCAAATATTTACCAAGAAAGGTCTTTAAGTCATTGTTTATGAGAAATTGGGCTTTATCTGCGTGGATGTTTTAGTAATTAGCTGGGTTTTATGGAATGCATGGCGGTGCTTTCACAGTTTTATCTCTCGTTCCAATCTTCTATTCATTTCTGGAATGCCAAAACAACATCTGTATTTCCTGCTGCAGAAGTGATTGGCAGCCACGTTTCAGGCAAATGCATATAAGAAAAAACAAATGGCAAATTTCATCTGGTAAATGATATTTACAGACTTTAAAGTCAAAATGCTGGGTTTAAAAAATTGTGACGTGATGGATGTTAGGGGGAAGAAAGGGATAGGCTTGCAGTTTTGTGATTTGTCATGAGCTGTGGAGGAAAAACAGATTAGTCTTCATTAACATTTAGAATTGTCATTTCTGTTATCAGGTTAGACATAATGTTTCAGTTTGGTTTTTTGCAGTAGACTTTGAAGTGGTTATTAGTACAGACAAAAGCATAAATGCACATTAACATGCAGGTAATGGTTTGTGTATTGAAGGAAATGGTAGCTAATACCAGAGTCTATCTAGCAACTTGCAAAAAAGGATAAGCTGGGAGAGAAGATTGGATTGTAGTAAATGCTAAAAAACTTTAGGGTAATGAAAATAAGTGGAAAACTTTGAATGTGTGCGGTGAGGAATTCTAATTTTCTGCTGAAAACTGGTTTTGAGAGTTTATTGAACGATTGCCTCCAAATTGGGCTTTGCAGGAGCATGACAAATGTTGCACCTAAACAGCATCTGTATGAATCCAAACTTCCCGCATTTCACAAAGCATTCCATGCTGTCCCACAGGGGAGTTTCTCAGTTATGGCTTTCTTGTATCTCCACATCATTCCTTTGGGATTGGTGACCTCTTTCCTCATGTCAGACAAGCGTCCTGATGATATGTCTTGGATGAGCTCGTGGCTTGAACTGGAGCATGTCCTGGCCATACCCTGCTGTCATTCCATTTTTCAGTCCCAGGAAATCAGTATTTGCCAATACCAATCCTTTTCAGCTCCCCTGTAATAGCAGAGCCTGAGACCAGGACCAGCTCCACTTCTCCAACCCGGGGCCAGCTTAGGAAGTCATCAATAGTGCCTACAAATAGCTGTGTTTTGTGCCTGGGTTCTGTAAAAACTTGTCAGACAAATTTTTTTAAACGGTTTGATGTTATAAAAACACTGTTGCTTTACACCAGGCTCTTCCTGCTCTAAAAAGACCATCTAAAAAATTTCTTGATGACTTTCTATGGAGAGAAAGGGGGAACTGAGTGGTTAGCATGTGCATATGTGCTGCTTTTCAAGAGGTGACATGATAAGATGTAAAGATTTGACACATTCATGACATTTTTTCCCTCCATTAAGACAGACAGTGAACTCAGAGACTTAAAAGCATGTTTGGAGAGAAGTTATTCCTGCCTTCTCTGTTTGAGCCCTGGCTGCCAGGCTGGAATTCCAAAGATCTGGCCTTCCTCTGCCCGTGGTCCCAGGAGAACTCCTTGGATGCTGCTTGTCTCTGGGTTCAAAGGAAGCTCTGTGCTCTCTCCTCAGGGCCGCCCTGAGCTGACTCCCACAGCCATCGCTGCAGGCAAACTGCTGGCCCAGCGCCTCTTTGGCCAGTCCTCAGAGCTGATGGACTATGACAGTGTGAGTCCTTCGTTCTTCCTTTCAGTAATAAAAATCTTACACTGTTTGCCTTGAGAATTTTTAAAGGAATTGCATTTTGTCCCCTGGAGTGCAGCTCTGACAGCTGATGTGTGTGCCAGAGCTGCACTGCTCAGTCCTGCCCAGGGTGCTGGGGTCTGTCCTGCAGCTGCTCTCCGTGTTCCCCAGCAACACCCCGTGTCCCCAGTAACACCCCGTGTCCCCAGTAACACCCCATGTTCCCCAGTAACACCCCGTGTCCCCAGTAACACCCCATGTTCCCCAGTAACACCCCGTGTCCCCCAGTAACACCTCTGTTCCCCCCAGAGCAGGTGCCCACCACAGTGTTCACTCCCCTGGAATATGGCTGTGTTGGACTGTCAGAAGAAGCAGCTGTGCAGTGTCACGGGTCAGATAATATTGAGGTATGAAATCATTTGTAATGCTCTGTTTGGTGGCAGAGTTGCACTGTGAACAGACAGAATTTTCACTGTTGCATCAGGTAAAATTTTTGGACCCCCAAAATACTGTGTTTGCAGTTATGGAGTTGGTGTCTCCAGAAGTGCTCAGAGCTTTAGTAGTATTGCAGCAGGTCACAGTGGGAACTGCTACCTAGTGGGCTTGAAATTATTGACAGCTTTAAAATTGGGTGACAGCTTTAAAGTAGCTGCCATTTTAGCAAGTTATATTGTGCAGCATCTTGCTGGACTTTCCATATTTTCCTTTAAAATAATGAAAAGGTTTTAAATAAATAATTTTTTCTACAGAGGTATAAAGATGTAGTAGTAGCAGTCATTATAATATTAAATGGCAGTTTTGGACATAATAGTGCTCTCTAACACAAAATGTTGTTGTTTTTCCTACCAGGTATTCCATGCGTATTATAAACCTCTAGAGTTTACAGTGGCTGAAAGAGATGCAACTCAGTGCTATATGAAAGTGAGTTCTGTGAGCTTTTAACTTGCCTTTAATTTGAAACAAGTGATATGGTGCAGCCAGCTTTAAGGAGAGCTGTTTGGCAAAAAACATCTCAAGGTGGATGAGATATTTTCTTGTTGACAACCTGTTTCTCTAGTGTAACTCCAAATGTTTAATGTTCATTAAATATCCCATTGCATCTTGGAATTGCTTTACAGATATTAGCATTTCTCAGAACTGACATTCTGCTGACTAATACTGTCTTTGGACTGCTCTTAAGGTCCTAAGAAATATTTCAGATTCTATAGACATCAATCTCTGCTTCTCCCAGCAAAGTTTTTAACTGGTTACATGTAATATTTGCATTGCCATCTCTTGGCAAAGTATGCTGCCCTCAGAAGAATTAAGCATAAGGCTTACAAAAGTAGAGTAACTGTTCAGTCTTACTCAGGAAAACAAAAAGCTCCTGGCTGAGACCAAAGTGTCAGACCTGAAATATATCTTCTCCTAGAGCCATCCAGTCGCTTCAGTGTTGGAAAGGTTTTTGATGCACTTGCCCTTAGTAGAGAATCTTAGATAAGGTGAAGTGTAGTGTTGGTAGAATATATCATAGTTTTCTTTTTCTTTCTTTTCTCCTCAACATCAGGGAACAATCTTTTTTGCATAAATAGGTCCATCAGTTCTATGATAAAGTGTTATGTTTTTATTGTTATGTAAGAGATGTCCATTGTCAATAGTTGCAGCCAGTTTTTCTGACTGTATTTTGTCACATCTGATTAATATAAGTGCCTTAGTAACTTGCCTTAAGTGTCCCAACTACGAGTGCAACTAAGGTGATGCTATTTCCTTTTATGTATTCCCTTTGAATTATGTCAGTTAAAGTAAATATTTGAGGGTGAAGTAGTAATAGCATAATAGTTATTGGAAGATATTGAGTATAGTCCCTACTAAACTCTCAAAACAAACATTTAACTTGAGTATTTCAAACTCTATTGCAATAGAGTTTTTTCTTTAAAACTCCTCAAAATTTAAAGTTACATGTCAGGATTGCTGCTGTTCCCAGCATTCCTGAGGAAAGAATTCAATCTTTTACTGAACAGCAGAACCTCCTGGATTAGTGATGATTTAATGCTTAATGGGAGGATGCTGGGAGAGACTCTTTCTTTTCTATAATTATAAAGATGGTGTCCTTAAAGGAACTAAAACGTTTTCATTACGTTCTCTAATAAAAGTTAAGTGTGCAGTGACTCAGCTCTCCCAGATCCTTATTAACTCACCTTCATACTTGGCTGCTTCCAAGGCTTGACCGAGAAAGCTCGGTCGTGTGGCCAGTGTGGTGAATGTGTCCCCCCAGACACTGCTCCAAGTGCTTCCTGCCTGAATCACAAAGGCCCAAAGTGTCCCATAATTGGCAGTGGTCATGTGTGCCAATCCAGCTGATGAGCTGTTGGCAATAACTGTGCCAATCCAGCTGATGAGCTCCTGGCAATAACTGTGCCAATCCAGCTGATGAGCTCCTGGCAATAACTGCCCAGGCCTGGAGAAGTGCTGAGGTGGCCAGTCTGGGGAAAAGAACATTGCTCTGGTTACCAGACCACAGTGTTTTGAGGCTTTCAAACAAATGACAAACACCAAAGCATTCAATAGCACAGATGACTGTTGTCAGTGGCTCCCTGCAGTCTGACACAAATACCCTGCTGAAGCTTCAGTTCAGCAAAGTGCTCAAGAGCAGAGTAAGACCCGTTGAAGTCAGTGAGACTGGAGCAAGTGTGTAAGTTTTTGGCACCCTGGAAACGACCAGCTGAACTAGGATCCTGGGGCACTTCGGTTGCATTTAATTCACCTTCCTGCCTTATCTTTAAGTGTTCTAAGGGAGGATCTCTGTGTCATGTATTGTTTTCAGATGGTGTGCTTACGAGAGAGGGAGCAACGGATACTTGGCCTTCATTTCATTGGACCAAATGCAGGCGAAGTTATTCAGGGATTTGCTCTTGGAATCAAGTAAGTACAAAAGAATGTCTCCAGCTTCTAAAGCCTGCTTCTTAAGTTATTGTAAGATTATAAAAGATAGCTGCCTAGTTTTGGCAACACTATAAAGAATGCAGGCCTTTTGTTACTTTTATGAAGTGTTGCACATATTTTCACTTAAAATACTGCAGTTCTTCATTAAGATGTATCGGATTTAGTTACTGTAATACTGGATATAGCTAAGGAAACAACTGAGGAAAATATATTGTTGACTTGATATAGTTAAAACAAAAACCAAAATTGTGCATTAACTTACTAATGTCAGTGTTTTTCAGTGTATCCTCTTTTGCATTCTATGCACAGAATAAGCAATCACTATATAGTTTTGCAAGCTACTTCTTTTAAAGGATATTTGTGCTTTTCATAAAAACCTTTCTTTACACCTGCCAAGGATTTCCTAATCTTATCTTTAAATGTGCACAGCCACTGCTCCTCAAAAGCTCGGCAAGGACTTGCATGAATCCCTATATGCTTCTGAGGTATAAGCTAATCATAATATAGTAAAAAAGAAACTTCTGTAGGATAATGGGAGAGGGCAGGTACTTTTGTTTGGAGCTAGCTGATAATTGCAATAACCAACTTACCCTTTGTGATCAGATCTTGTTCAAGATTTTCCTCAAATATTAATATAGAAGCCCTCCCTTTGAAGGAGTAAGGAATTATTCTGTGTCCTCTCTGGTAAATGGAAAATTCCTGCTATGCCTCCCATGGGCTACAGTTATTTCATATTTGTTGTTACATTTCCCTTCTTATCATCCTTATCTTCAGAAATGTTGATTTGTATATTTACGTTACTAAATTATAGTTTTTAACTCCCTCTTTGAAGAAAGTAGTCTGGGACACAGTAAATCACCCCGAGTTGTGGTGTGAGCTCATTTTCCTAATCGTGCTCACCATTTTATTGCAGTTTTAGTCTTAGAGATGTGAGTGACTAGCATAAATGAAAAGCAGAAAGGATTAAGAAGGCAGGACCGCAAGTATCACGTAAGGAATATCTTGGAACTCACTGATTGCAGTGTACCCTCAGTACACATTTTCAACATGTGTTTGTAGTCCTTTAATTGCCAGTGGTATAGATTCTAGAACTACATTTTTTTAGGATGTCATTGTTTTGAAGTTTTATCCAAAATAACCATTGAAAAGGAAGCACATGAAACTGGAGTGCTTTTCTGCCTTGCTTGAGGGAAATTAAAATTTTAGCCACAGTAAGAGGTTTTCAGCAGGTCAGATTCTTGTATTGGTTTCTATTGCACTTCACAAATCCAGAGCTTTCAGTGTGGGACACTCACTGGAAGAGCTGTTCTCCTTTGTCAAGCACTGGGTCTCACTTCAGTCTCTCTGAAGGACGATTTTTCATCTTCCCTCCCCACTTAGCACTCCAGTAACATCTGTGCTCAGCAATGATCCTCTGATTGTCGGTGCTTTTTGGACGTGCAGACATCAGAAAGTATCTATGGCTCCCTTCCCTGTATTTTGTAGAGGGAGATAACACTGTTCCATAGAGAGCTTGAAACAATTCTTAAATTTAGGGCCATTTCAGCTATTCTTAAAGCATGACTTGCCAGGAATAGCAGCTCAAAGGAAAGTCATCAAGTCTTAAGAATGTATTGGACAAGTAAAGGAATTAAGCAAGTGGGATTTTAGCTGAAGGGTTTTCTGGTGGGGTTTTTTTTTTGGTTTGGTTTGGTTTTTTTTCAAATAAGAGGCTTTTTATTCTCCTGCTTATAACATTGATATGTTCAGTATAAGCACCAGTGACTTTCTGTAAGATCATGGAATAATATTCTGGTATTGCTTCCTTCAGCAGATTCTTTCCAGCAGTTCTGATTCAGATTTTCTTCCTCTGTGTGCATGTGTGCATTGTTTTCCATCTGAGTTAGTGAGACACACATGTATGTACAAGAAAAGCTGAAGGTTGCAGTTTTGTCAGATGTTTTTGCCATAGGCTCAGTTGTGACTTGGGTAAATTGCTTAATTGTCTCTGTCTCAACCCTTATGACAATTCTTCCCTGCCTTGATGCCGTGAAGCTGGGCGTCTACAGTTGTGTAAGTGCCTGAGAAATAATAGAGACAGCATTGTGTGAGAAACAAAGGAGCTCCTCTACCTGATAAAATGGACAAGAGCAGAATTACTTTGATGTTTTCGGACCTTCTGGCTGTTTCAGGTGAAGAGCATTTGACTGTGTGGGTCTTTCTCTTTCTGCTGTTTTTGGTAGGTGTGGTGCCACGTATCCTCAGCTGATGAAGACAGTTGGCATCCACCCCACCTGTGCTGAGGAGGTCACCAAGCTGCACATCACAAAGCGTTCTGGCTTGGACGCAACAGTCACAGGCTGCTGAGGTTAAACACCATCCCTGGAAAGAAGGAAAAAAGCACAAAATATGTTTGTAAAGAAAGGGGGCACTTAGAGTTGAAACAGCATTAATGGTTTGATCCTTGCACCACCTCAGTTCTAACACCAATGCAGTCCTGCTGTAACAAAGCTCTCTCTTTCAAAGTGCCTAAAACCGTTCTCTTGCTGGGAGCTAGGAAATAATCCCAGTATTTTACATGTGAATGTAACTGAAGCCAGGGACACCTGAGGCCACCTACAAGTGCAGCAGTTTTCCCTGGGTTCCTCTGCTGGCACTGCTGGCAAAGTGCCTCCCGGGATGGTGCCACATGCTGGGGACTGGACAGGGCCTCCCGTGGCAGTTTGGTGATACTTTGTCCTGAGCTTGCACAGCTCGTTACTGATGCCAGCAGTGACTGCTGAGACTGTGCTCACGAGCAGAAGCAAGTTCCCAGAGTGTGTAACAGTGGGTAAGCAGTCATCTTCGGGATTTTTCTTCTAAATGTAATACATAGAGGAATTTAATAGAAAATCATCTATCACTGAGGCTGTGCTGCTGCTGGAAGAATCCCAGTGCATTAATCAGTAGCATCCTGGGCACAATGATGATGGCTGAGAGTGAATGAGCTCAGAGGTGCTAAAGGAAGAGTTGAATTTTATGGTTATTTCTCTGCCTACTCCTGAAATTTTTAGTTCAGTTCAAATTAAATTGACACATCTCACAAATTACTGCTTGAACAGTGCATATTAAGCAATGCTGACAAGTAGAATCAAACCCACTAATAATCCAACTTACGTAGCATTTTCTGTTTTATAGAATGCAGAAATCTAGCTGACACTGATATATTTTCTTGGTTTGTTTTTAAGACTTTCTCACTGATGAGCTGGGTACTACATCTGAATTGACTTAGGTCTGGCTTTGCTAAAACACGTTAGTGAAGGGAACTACATTAACCGGCGATCTAGAAAAGAGACAGTCGTGCTCAGAACAAGGATCTAAAATAATTCTCTGCAAACTTTGTTTTGCGTATCGGCCCGACCGAGAAAGCCTTGCCCTGTCCCGAATTCCTGCTGCTTTTCGGGCTCTCCAGAAGGGGGAGGTGCTGCCTAATCTGTGGCAGCAAAGGAACATCCGAGAGTGAAGCTGCTTGTGCAGAGCCCTGGTGAGGAGGTGGCCTGACAAAGGCAAGCACAAAACCTGCACCGAACTTCAATGGAAGTCGCAGTATTTTGCTATGCATAAACACAGAATTTCTTGCACCCTTTACAGCAGAATAGTGATCATAGGAAAAGAAGAGATCGGCTGGAGGTGAAACCAAATGTATCCTTTTTGCAGTTAATTGATATCAGTGTTTTCTTTGGGGAATTTGATATTTTCATTCCAAGCTTGTTGCACAGTTTAGAAGAATAGTCTGATGATCATGTGTATCTTTGCTATTTTTAATTGGATTGCTGTTTCACTGCTGCAACACAGACAAATGGCTGGTTTGGTATGAGTGTGAAATCTTTTTTACCACGAGAATTGTACCTGTCAGAGAAACTAGTAGAAAAAAAGGATCAGAACTTCCTTGTAAAATATTATGTAACAGCATTTATCATACTTCCATTGATACTAGAATATTGAATTTTCAACTATTTATTTTAACAACAAAAGAAATCTCAAATGCTTTCTTTACAAAATTTCCTGAGTTTTGGTCAGTATTTCTGGTCCATAAAATAGGAAGGAGTGATATGGTTTGGCTGCAAGTGGCATTCCCTGTCACATCTGCCAGTTTTCATCTGAGAACTCATCCATAAGTTTGTAATTGAAAAGAAATACTTTGAGTGGAAGTGTAGCTGAAACACTGCCTGCATTTTACAGCTGCCTTTAGAAGAAATGATGAAAACTTTGTATATAAATGCGTGCATACCTGCACAGTCAGAAGTTTCTGTTTCCTTTAATAAAGGTCTTATGAGCATGGTGCAGCCAAAAACCCTATTACATTTCACAAAAGAGGAGTTCATAATACATTAGGGTTTCTTAAAATGTTTTACTTAATATTGCAATTAACAATTGAAACAGAGAACTTTCTGTGAGAAATCTCTCACCTCTGACTGAATTGTAATGTCTATGCATGCAAGATTTTTTTCTAGTGATTACCTTTGATAGTTCCTTTGGTTTCCCATAAGTGAAAGCACTGGTGTTTAGCCCTGTAAAATCAGCTTCTCTGCCCCACCAATGCATCCAGCAGAAGGAGTCTGTCCCTACAGACAAATCAATGGAAAGATGAGTTAATGTCATTCATCATAAAGTTGAAAATAATTATTTGGGACAGCAAATAAGGAGATCTCAAGGAAATGTGTGCTCAGTGTGTGAAACTAAGGCATGTCATCTTTCTCAGAAGTAACAGAACTGCCTTGGTGTTAGAATTCTGATGAACATTGTTCCTGTCTCTTCAGTAGCAGCCCAGTTCTATTCCTCATTTAGTGGAAAATGCTGTTGCCCCACTGAAGTAAAACTGAATACACATCACAGCTGCATAACCCTGATGGCAACATCAGCAGCAGGGCAGAATAATGACAACTGCTGTGACTGTGCTTTTTTCCTGCAGGATTCACCAGGGATGGTGCTTAAGAATTGTTTTATTTAAAAGCCTGACTAATGTCAATTGGAACAACTGATGTACACTGAAAATTACTAATTGCATGTGAAAATGTAAAAAACAAACAAATTGAGTCAGGCTTCACAGGATGCCAGCTGATGAGGATCTGTTTGTCAAACCACACCATGGTGCAAACAAGTCTGAGCTTTGCTGGGTCCCTTACATGTGTGATTCCAATATTTATTGTGTTGTGCATTAATTAATGAATAAAGAATATTTTTTTCTAGTAAATGTGTGATTGTATTTGCTTAATTTTGTACATATGCTTTCTGCTTACAATAGATTTGGTTTTCGATCTTGCTGTTGTTTCTCTTGGTTGAAGTGTGTGTTAAGGAAATGAAGAAGTAGACAGACTCAGACCTTTTAAGAAGGAAATGTTGATACCTCTCTGTATCTGTGTGTAAACTGAATAACTGTGGAGATTTTTCCAGGCTGGATGGCCTCTTATTTTGAATTTAAGGGAACCTGTAGACTTGGTAAGTATGTTTTCAAACACTCTCCTGTTTATTGCAGCTAATGAGATCTAACAGGTATTTTCACTGTCCCTGGTGTTGACATCCTGCTTGAGGTCAAGAGTAAACTCCCTGGAAATACAGTGCAGTCAGAGGATTGTACAGGGCCAAACTATTCTACCCCAGCTATTTACCTTGGGTTTTAAACCAGAACACAAAGTGGAAAAAATGCATAGGAACAAAGGCAGTTAGCAGCTATAGGTACTGCTGGGTAAAAATATTGGAAAACTAACTGAGAAATGACCAGCAACATTTAGAACTCTGAGAAACTTCTCTGTCAGAAAAGAAAGGGAGAACATTGATCAGTTCATCTCAATTTTCTTTTATTTCTGTAAATGCACTGATTTTGATGAGAAGTTCCCGTTATGTCAGGTAATGCTGAGCTGCTGAAACAGGCTGGTTTGGTATTATCTCAGTACATGCCTTGGATTTGATGCTGAGAGTGAATATTGACTTTATTGTATTTAAAGGCATTTTGATTTCTGCATTTTTAATCTGTTTTAATTTCCTGTAATATTTCATTGCAGGTTCTAACAAATTAGGATATCTAGTAACAATGGCTAAAAAAGGGAATAAGGTAAGAAAACTCTTCATTATTTTTTTGTTCCTTATTTTCATATGCTACTTAATCCCAAACCAAAAAGAATTACAGACAAGCATACAGACAATAATCTTTATAAATTGAGAACTGAATATACTGCATTATTTGTATTACACCTAATGATAACTTGTTCTCAATGCTAAGGTATTGTGTACAATTAAGTTTTGCCTTTTCCCATTTCTGGGACGTGTCATTACACCTACTGAAAGTTGTTTCTACAGTTCAGATTATTGCAGAGCAGGAGCTGGAAAAGACAGTTCAGCACAGCAGATACCCCTTTTTTCCCAGCACAGTTATTCTGATAAAAGCATAAAACCCCTTTGCCCAGTGCAGTGTGTTTCTAACCAAAGCAGCTGCACATCGTGCAGGCTTTGGAGTTTGAAGGGTTCTCTTCAGAGGCTCCTGCCTGGCCAACAGTGGGCAATTTGGTGCCCATACAAACTGCCATTTGTCTAAATCCCAGTGCCATCAAGGGCCTGGAGTTAATGCTGCCCATTAACTGCAGTGGGATGCCAGTCTGTGTCTTAAGTGCTTTGTTAAAGGGGAATCAATGTGAGCATGTGCCAAAACGTCTTTCATTATTACAGTTGGGGAACAGGCTGCAATTATGATTCAAAACATAAAAGGTACAATAGACATCTATGATTAGGCAATGAAATATGCCTTTAATAAGCATAGTGCAGACAGTTTGTTTTGCAATACGTAAACTTGTATAAAATTCATTGACTTTTTCATTCTTTCAGATCTGTGTGCTCTCTTTTAAGAGAGGTTTTTTACTTTTATGCACAAAGTTTTCCTGATGTTCTTCCAGCAGAAAGGCTGGGTTTGCAAGCATTTATTCTAGTGCCAAAGTTGAATTTTACTGGGAAAAGAGGAAACAGCAGAGCAGACCTTTTTTCTTTTTTTTTTTTTTTCCCAGGGCAGCATGCAACAGATATGCTGTAATTACTCTAACTGATTTTTTAAAAATGGAATATTTCTGTCCACTACCTGTCAAAGAGCTAATTATGTTTCCGTTGTGGTACTCAAAGTCAATATTGTCAGCTCTTCTTAGTTCTAATCCTCTACATTGAGTTTTGATGGGCCAGGTGAAATATCCCCTTCAGCACCTTCCTGCAATTCTTGTCAATCATCTTGCCATGAAAAACATGCATATTACAAAGGCTTTGGCAACACTGCATCTGATTTCAGTCTTTAATCTTATATGCACCTTAAGAAAACATCATTCCAACTACTGACATTCAGTTTGGGATATGAATGGGATCCTATTTGCTGTGGGAAACAAAGAAAATGATCTAATCTTTAATGGATATAATGGAACTCTTTGGCCATCACAGTGTAAAGGCTTAGTAGTAAACCACAGATCTGGGAAGAAAACAATTAGGATGGTGAACTGGTGCAGAAATTAGGCAGAATATCTCAAGCGAATAAGTAAGAAAATGCACTTTTATTTATTCATTGTGTAATTGTAAAAGACCTCTCTTCAAGCACTGTTGGAGTTAGGAGATTGTCTCTTTTGTGACTCCTGGACTTGCTGTGCAAGGAGTGCTGTTCACTGCAGTCATTTCTAACCCTGGTACTGCCTGTGCCACTGTTTGGTTGTTTCTTATAGACAAGATCTAGCACATCTCAAATCTTCTGGTCCTACAATGGAAAATTAACATCATTCCCTAAGAAGCTGGAATATAAACTAATAAGGCAGGTTTCCAGAATCTGATTGCATCAGTCAGAAAGATACAGTCTGAAGAGAAAAGTGAATATTCCCTGGGGGGGTAGTGTGAAATGGAGACCAGTCTTGTTTGAACAAGGTGCTGTGCATTGTTAGCTGGGTAGAGGTATTGGGAGCTGCAGCCTGTCAGAACCAGCAGCTCCAAGGAGGGGGTGGGGGAAATTTTTCCAGGTAAAAGTCTCAGCAGTTTGTGGTAGAGTATGTCCAATATATTAACACATTCATTTAAGGAAAGCCTTTATACTCCATGAAAGATGAACTGTAAAAATACTCCCACTTACCTCCTCCCCTGTTTTTCCTTCAGATCACACAAAGACCAGTTGGGGTTTGTTCCATCCTTCTTCCCTTTACATTAAAGCAACATGGGAATCAGGCTTGTTCTCCTTGTTTCAGCATAAAAACAAAGAGCAAGATCCTTCTTAAATCTTTGACAAGGAGACTTCTTTTTCCCAAGGCTCTGTGCTGAGTTAGGATTAGCTAGGTGGTAACATATCTCAAACAAATCTAAACCAAAAGGACTACAGATACCTTGTCTATTAGAATATTATGTAACTCCATTAAATTAAAATACCAAGGGAAAGAAAACCAGTGAAAAAAGACAGACTTTAGGCTTTAAGCAAAAATCAAGAAAATAAACAAATGTTCCCTTCTTTGCCAGCTCCCTGTGAGAAAAGGCCCAAATACATTTTTCCAGGGTGTACTCCCAACAAAACAGTCCACATTGAAAGCCTGTTTTATTTTTATCTCTTACTCGTGTGAATGAGCTGCAGTGCAGCCAACCAATATTCTGTTCACACTGTGTCAGAGCAACAGGTTACATGGCAGCTTTTAGCTTTGTGCAGGAGCTTGAGCTCAGCAATCTTTATTTAAAAACCCTTGTTCAACAGGGACAAAGGATTGAGCTTTGGCATTTTTATTAATTTTGATAATCTTCCTTTTTTTCTCTCTTTCAAAGGATCAAGAGGAAGTGCATTAATTTTCAACTTCACACGAAGGCAGGTTGTACAAACACAGCTGGAAACATCAGGAAACCCAGGCATTTTCCTTAGAGAAATGGAGTCAGCTAATGTTCTGCTGGCAGGAGCCTCCTGAGTGATTGGGAAGATGTTGTCAGGCAGCAGTTTGGGCAGCAGGGTGTTCACAGTGATCACACTGCTCGGTTCAGGTGAATGACTCCCCTAATGCAGAAAGCAGAGATTGTTCACCATCTCACAGGAAGTCATTTCAAGAGCAGCAAGGCTGCTTTGGAGACTTCAGAAACGGCTCTCAGGTTGTCAAAGGATTTATTTTTTTATTATTAATTTAATTTACATCAGGCTGGGATCTAATTAAATCATGACAGCACTTTTGATTTTTACTTCTTTATTTGTCACTGAGCTTATTTGTTAGACATATTTCAAACACAGGAAAATAAGGAGAATTCTCTTGATACTTCAGACTTTGCTTGCATTTCTGTCCTTGTTCATTCTGCATATATCCAGGATACCTTTACATTTCAGGTCTCTTTGGGTCTCTTCCTTAATCAGGGATTTCATTGTAATCCCCGAATTTTTCTTGTTCTACTTTTTTTGAAAGATGCACATTCTGTTTTACTTAGCTGCTCTTAGCCCTATTCAAGTGTTAGTAAGTGAATTCCCTTTTCGTGGGGTAGGAATCCAATGTATTTGTAAGAGAACATTTGGGGATTTTCTGCTTGCATCTCCCTTTAGCTCCCACATACTTCCAAATCTGGAAATGCCACAGCTCCAGAGGAGCAGTTCTCAATAAGTCCTGTCCTTAGCTGGGGTATTGTTCCCTTTGAAGAATGAGAGACCAAGCATTTGTGAGTGTTTATGGTTGGACCTTCTGAAGGGCATCATCCTTCCTTAATGACAAAATCTCAGATTCACGGGCTGTGGCAACAGTGCCTTAGGGTTTCCAGGAGAGTGGCAAAGTGGAACTTCTGATGGAATCTGCTGTGAAATGCAAGGCCTCTGTCACTGAGGCTACTGAGACCTCTGAGCTCTTGCACTTTTTTATTGAGTAGCAAACTCTCAGAAGTGCAGAAAGCTACCCTGGAGTGATGCAATTGTCCATGTGAGCTTAAACATCCTCGTGAGGCCACCTCAGTGTCTTATGCTCCAGTTCTGGAAGTCCTAATATTTCCCAAGTTCCCCAGTTGGGCGAACGTTTGCTTTGTGCTATTGAGCTGATCCCGAGGAACAGCAGAGGGGTGTTCCCTTGGATCCACATTATTGATTGAAGCACTCTCCCTCACTGTACTTCAGTGAAGTGTAGCCAAGAACAACAAGATAAGAATTAATGTAGGTGACAGGGGAGTTTCTCAGACTCTGTGGTGCACATTAGCCTGGCTGCAGAGAGAAAGGGCTGATACTTGAGTCTTTTGAGTTGGGAAGGCTCTGGTCAGTCCTTGAAGGGGAAGCACATGAATGGCCCAGTTGTCATCGCATTTTATTTTTCCTCCAACTTTGACTAATGGTGCATTTCCTCTGGCCTCCCACGGGCCATCCGTGGCTGACTTGCTTTGTCACTCCTCACTTGAGGCGCTGCCTTTACTGTCCACGCCGTTCCCATGGCGGGCCCGGTGTCCTCTGCAGGGACACACAGGCACAAACCATCTGTCATTCTTCCACTCCTCTTTCAAGCCACCACTTCCCATGTTGTGTGGCCTTGCAGGCTGGGAGCAGTGTGCCTCCCCCTGCATGCCTGCAGTACTCCAGCTCTCTCCCACTTGATAAGGGACCTCCGACATTCCGCCTGGAAAAGGACTAATGGGCATCTCCCTGCTGGCAACCAGCCCCACCTTTTTATTGTGTTCAGGGGCTGATAAGTTGTCTGGATCAACAAGGAATTGTCCCTTTTGCAGGCAAAGTTATTAGGGTCAAATTAGGTGTGAGTTGTGAAATTAATCATTGCAACCACAAGTAATTTGTAGTGTGCCATGGACAAAGGGAAAAAGAGAGACTAGAAGAGGAAATTATTGTAGGGCACAAAGAACCAAAGTGATCAGGAAGGAGGGGGGAGAGAATGGCTGGCAGTGCTGTACAGGATGTTGAACTAGGCCTGTAGACTGGGCTGGATTTGGTTTCCTCTTGCACCTGTGGACTGTGAAATAATAGAACAAGGTCCTTTAATGTCATTTGAGAGTCTGAACTAATCTACATGCAAGGTGTCTGAGGAAGAGGAAGATAACTGACTTTGCACCAGAAACAATGCTTTTATGTGCATGTTAGTTGACCATATTCCTTGCACATCTCTAGATGATCTGAATCAGTCTCTGCTGGAAACGAAGTCGAACAGATCTAAATTATACACAGAATTTCCAAGCTAAAAATCCAGGCAGCACTCGAAAATATGCATGTGAGCTCTGTGTAGGAATGATGTCCTCTGAGCCATGCCTTTTACTACAGCACAGCTGACACTCACTGCCTGGGGACACAGCTTTGTGGGTCAGCTGCTGCCAGGGCTGGACTTACAGCAGGATTCAAGAGAATGGATGAGAAGACAGCAATGTAGATAAACCTGCAGTTTATGTATATAAACAGTGTGACTGGCATGAGCATGTTTTCCCAGAACTATTAACCAAGGCTGGGAGAAGGGAGATGCAACTCAGAGGTCAAACCTATGAAAGCAAAGCCTGTTTGACACACCTGGAGCTCTGTGTGGATTTGGTTCTAAGTTCAGAAACTGAGGAGCTGCGAGAGGAGGATGGGAAGGGAAGATAGTGAAACATCCACTGAAAGGCTTCAGTGTTTTCTGGGGTGAGAAGCCTGAGTGTTCTGCCTAAAATACAAATCTGAAGGTGTGCTGAATTTGCTTGGAAATGCTGCAAAACTCTTCTCATTTCCTGTAACTGTTGCAAGGTTGGCCCTTTTCCATGGCTGAGCCCCAATTCTTAGCTAGCCAGAATGAAGTGGCAGGAGAAATTCACTCTCTCTTTCATCTTCTAGTGTATCTAGGAAGGCAAAAACCAAGACTTTGAGCCATTAATTCCTAAGTCTGTGGCTTGATTTGCTGCAGTAGAAACTGTGTTAAGGGTTTTGTCTTCTCTTACCAAAGCTAATTGTTAATTGCATCTTCTTTTCTCCAGCCACTGCCACGAGGAATGACTGCCTTCTGTGCTGATGACAGATCTGCCCCTCTGTTATCAGACACTGCAGTTTTGCCATCTCAGTTTCATAAGAGTTGCTCCTGCCTGGGAGCCAGTGGAGCAGCCGTGCTGGGCAGAGCAGCTCTCTGAGGAGGTGGATGATGGATGACAGTGATTCCCTTTGGCATGGATGGGGCACTGAGGTTGTGTTAATTTTTTATCCCCTCCCCAATACCCCCCTTTCCCTCCTCTAAATTCTTAAAGCTAATCATGGTGTTGCTGTATGAGCAACACACACAGGTGATGCTACAGTAACTCAAAAAAACCATATTTTATGGCACTGCTGTGCATCACTGTGTCAAAATAGTCAAGAAAGAGATAATTGCTACAGGTGGCAGAGGCTCCTGGATGGCCATCAGAGGGTACATAGGGAATAAATTTGAATGCCTTCACCAAATTTCTAGTGTTTCCACCAGCAATACTGCTTCCTTTTCTCTCACTCCTGTCATATATGTGCTTTTGCTCCAGCTCCTCCTGTGCTCAGGGAAGAAGCAGGTCTGGCACTTCTACTGCCCTGAGGTTCTGTGGGGCTCCATGAATGGGTTTGCAGTGATGCAGCTCCACTGGCACAAAACTCTGGCGATGTTCCAGCACAAAGCAAAGTCTGTCTGGAAGCAACTTGCTCTGAAAGGTGTCTGCAAGCAGAAGAGATGCCCTTGTGGAGGTGGGTTCTCAGGACTGGATCTCAGCTGTATTGACAATCAGCTTTTTGTTCATGTACTTCCCTGAAATATTCTTTAATAGTGGATTTGAACAGTCTTTAGCAGAGATCATATTTCTAGTTTGGGATTCCCTTTATACATCTTTCATTAGTGCAGGGATTCTCCGCAATCAGAGACCAGCACCACAGAACAGCTGGATCCATTTTGGCTTGACAAGGGGCATGGGCACTTCTTATATATATATTTATGGCTTTTGTGAACATTTGAAATGCTTTTTATAAATATTAAAAATATAATCAAGGGTTATGGAAAGAATTCATCCTGCATTGCCATCAGCTGCAGGAGTTCTTCCATCTTCCTCGAGAATATGTATCACTGGCTGACACTGTGAGCTAACTGGTCCAGTCTGGGAATTCCTAGCTACAGCTAGAGGAGAGGGGAGGCTGTGAAGGGAATTGGTATCTCTTGATCATCAGAGAGAGCAAATGGAGCACAGGCGGCAGCCTGGCTGCCCCTGGAGCAAGTCAGAGGCAAGAAACTCGTGAGAGGCACCTCCGAGAGCTCCCCAGGGCTCCGCTGCGCCCGCTGCACCCGCTGCGGTTACCGGGGAGGTTACTGGCCCTGCTTGTCTCGAGGTAGCTGGAGTTGAGGCATATGTTTTCCATTTGGAGCTTGGAGGATGCCCAGGTCTGACTTGGCATGCTGTCTGCACTGGGCATCAGCAATACAGATGTGGAAACCACAAACCCGATTAATATGAGCCTAGAGTAAAAACTCAAATAAGCTTATAAATAAAACCAGACTTGCAGATTATTTGTTTCCATATTAGCCTATAATAGACCCTACTCAATATGTTTGTTTTATTTGGTTTGGTGACCGACATAGGTATTTATATTTCCAATAAAAATTTATATCAGAATACAACAGATGAAGTAAGCTTCAATTATTTGTGCAGAAGATGATTGCAACTGTCTGAAGCATGTAATTCCTTACATGAAATGTTAGCCTGCTTTGAACAGAGATGTGACAGACTTCTCAGTATTTAATTTCCCATTCCATCATAGCTCCAAATCCTACATTTATATATTAAAATAGACTCCTAAATGGACTCTAATCCTCAATGAGTAATCAGGAGGTGTTGGATGGCTTGATGGGTCTAATTCTTGGTGTAAGCACCGTCTGTGTGATCTTGGGTGAGTCACTAAATGATCTTAGCTTAAAGTGGTGACTTTCTTTTTATCCCTGCCAGGCTCCTGCTGAGCTCTGAGCTGGATGACCTCAGGTGCTCCTTTCCAGTGCACCTTCAGCTGCTCAAGTGCAGGTGATGAAACCATGCAGAGAAGAGAGTTCCAAGGAACCATCTGAGGAGATTCTTCAAGAGTGCTGACAGACATTCTACTCAGTGCAGAAGATCTCGTCCTGGCAACTGATGGCTCTTAATCCAAGGTGAGATTGCCTTGATTCAGCTCCATTTAAACACAGCTGTACCAGGAAAATTCTATGCTTTGCCAGCAGTAGGGCATCTAGTTTATTTTGCCTGTACTGTGACACTTAGTATGGGACACCTGCACAAAGCCTGGCAAATCTTTGAAGTGAGACTTCTTGTCCCAAGGCCTTGTCCATGTCTGTGCTGGGCAGGGGCTCCAGGGGCTCAGGGAGGCCCACCCTGCTTTCAGGCCTCACCTTGGGGATGGAGGTGGAACTGTGCTGCACTCCCCTAGTCCTCCCAATAGACAACAGAGGGAAATAAGCACTTCCACATGCTGGTTTGGATCCCACAGAGGCTATCAAGGGAGCATGCAGTTCTTGCATCCCAGTGGGATCAGCCTGAGCCCTGGATAAGTATTTGCAGTGACTTCTTTGTGCTAGTGGGGCTTGTAGACAAATGAATAAACAAACAGTGCTCTCCTCCCATCTTTGCTTTGCAAAAACATAAGGGAAAAAACTTTCACACCCTTTGTTAGGACATCAGTGCCAGAGGAAAGACACCAACCATTATTCCATTCACATCTCCCATTTTCATTTCCAACTGTTTCTCTGGATTCCCTTTTTTTCAATTTCTTCCCCCCTCTTCAGCTGTTTGAGCAATGACCTGTTCTTATGAAACAAGTTTTCGGCTTCATAACGGTCCTGACTTCTCACTGTCTGAAAGGCAAGAGGGTCACTGAGAGTGAACTGTCTCACACTAGATGGTGTTTTTCCACATGGAAATGCTGAAGGGCCACTCTGTGCTGTCAGCCCAGAAAGGCCAGAAGATGCCTTCAGACTCCCCAGGTGCCTCTGTGTTTGTTTTCTAATGTTATTCCACACACAATATCATTAATATTATGTCCAAAGCTTGTCTTTTTAAACAGAGTCAACACATCTAACCTATTAGTCAGCCACTGGGAAAAAGGAAAGGATTAAGTCAACACTGTGAGGAATTAACCCTTTTCATTGCCCAGAGAAGAAATCAAAGAGGATACAACCTCCTTAAATTGCAAAAGGGACTTGATTGTTTTCTCTCACAAAGTAGTGGAAATATTTCCTCTCCCTTTGGCCCTCAGGTGTAAAGGGTGTCGTGCAGGACTCGGACAGGACTGGTGCCTTACAGGCCATCGTTCCCTTTCCCATGGTACACACCACTGAAGGGCAGGAAATTTCCCTCCCAGCCACCTTTCTCTTTTTTTGACTCTCCATTTCCCTGTGGGCTGCCCCAGGTACTGGGCTGGGCTTGGCATGCAGACACAGTCAGGAACAGAGGCGAGACTGCCCCGAGCGCAGTGTCCGGGCGCTGAGTGAGCGCCCAATGGGCCGTAGCAAAGCGCACAACCAAGTCAAAGGAAAGTGGAAAGTATTTCATAAAATTCATCTTTGCATCCCTTTTTCCTCTCTTGATATATGGCCCCTCGTTCCCAGCTGCCCGGCCCGGCCCCGTGTAAATATGTCAGTGCACCAATGAGACGGAACAGGGGCGCAGGAGCACCAGGGCTGTTCCCAGATAAAACACCGAGCTGGAGCCCAGCAGTTTATTGTAAATAAAGATCAAGGCAAAGCAGCAACATTTCTGTTCGACTCAAGCCTGCCAAGGTTGCTAGTCCAGCTGCTTTCACAACTACCATATGTCCACACGGATTTCCCCTTCCACAGTGACATGTTACTCCTCTGACAGCTCCGCAGCCTCTGCAAAGTCCCTCCATGCTCTCCATGAGCTGCTTTCCAACCACCTGGAGCACGGGGGGCACGTGGGGCACTGGGTGCACGGGTGGGCATGCAGGGGAGCACTGATCTCCCAACTGCTCAGCTCCAGTACTGCTGAGCCTGAGCAGTCCCTCTGTGGGGCAGGGACATGTTAATGCTTGGTTTGGTTCTGCTCAGCAGAGGGCACTGGATCCTGGAAATGGGAGCTGACGCTGGGGAGCACAGGGGCCTGATTGCTTTAGCAGATGGACTGATTTTTTTCCTTCTGGATGCTGGTGGTGTGGAAGAGAAGTCTGCAGCTCTGCTGCTTGCTGATTGACCAAGAGACAACCATGGCATGTGTTAGCAGGTGATAAACTTGTCCTTTACATGTATTTTTTATTTTAATTAAAGTGGTAGCTACAAAAATCAGTTATCTGGAAATCAGGTTGGCTGAAGTATTAGCCAGCTGGCATCCTTCTGAACCAGCCAGCTGACACGGAGGGAGGTGCAAGCACCTACAAACTGAACAGCCAGGCTGGGGTGGAAACTGGTTGTATTGTTCAGGCTTGTTCCTGCAGTCCACAGGGAAACTATAGGAGTGGTCTGAGGGGAGCTGGCTGAATCAGGGAGTTTGGCCTTTGATTTGAAGTCCCACAGTTTCATTACAAAGTTATCGTCTTTTTCAATGAGTTCATGTCATTCTCAGCAATACCCACAAACAATGCACTCCACTCTCCCTCTTTCATCACTGAGTTCCCTTTGCTGTGTGCTGGGGTTTGCATTTTCCTCACTGATGGCTCAGGTGAGCTGTAAGCCAGAGACACTAACAAAAAAAATTAGGATTGTATTTTTTTCAAATTATTTTTTAAGTTCATATGTACATGTATGTTGTAATATAGCTCTTTTAATAATAAAAGTTTTAATGCTAACAAGGAACATATATTAAAAACCTTCCTAAGTCTTCATCTGGCACTTCTCTAATATGTTGAGGATTTGGCACAATTTACTCATATAACTCAAGAAAAAGAATTCATTCTTCACACTGACAGCTACTGACCTAAGTTCTTGAGCTGACCTAGGATGCTTCACTTGAGATGACAGTTCCAAATGCAAGAAAATTGAATACTACCACAATATATGCTTTAGCTGTGCTGAAGAAAACTCCAAGGCGATGGTGTTTCCCAAAAGCAGCTCGTAGTTACTCAGGGTTTTATACTTCTACAGCAGCACATCTCACCACACCCAGCAATTGCTAGACCCAAACTGGAGGTTAAATGTGCTGGAAAATGTGGCAGTGGCTTCCAGCATTAGCTGATTCCTGAGCTTATCAGGACTCAGGCATGCCTGCCTTGCAGAGCAGCAGGATCAGTTTTGGAGCTGGGGTAAGGAGAGCTTTCCCTTCACACCCCTCCCTCTGCCAGGTGTGTGAGCCTCTGCCTGTGCCTTGGCAGTGCCCACAGTTCAGGGCTGCCCATCTGCAGTGCTGTGCCCTGCTCCCCTTTCAATCAGATTGGAGCCACGACTGCTGAGGGCTGCAGGTTTGGTCTTTTTTATTAAATAGGTCAGCAGGCCCTGACAGTTGGCATCCATCTCCAGCCTGGAGCTGGGTGATGACAGGCCATACCATGGCAGGCTCCAGGGTATCTGTTCATCTGTCCTGCTTGGTACAGCATGTTCCAGGTGGAGACTGGCAGGGTGCTGGTGCTGAACCCTGCCCTGCTGCCGTTCCCCAGTGACAACAGCAGTATCCTGGCTCCTCATCCTGTGCTCAGATCCCAGCTGCCTTTGACTGCCATGGAAACTGCTGCTGCCATCCCAGTTCTTTAGTACATTGAGATTTTCAGACTCAGGCACGTTATTTTGGGAAGGGAGGAACTTCTTTGCAAACTGATATGCTCTTGAAGTGCTTCCTGCGCTCTGTATTAGGCTAAAGCAGGTCTGGGTTTTGTGACCAACGTCACCTTCCCCTGCAGAAGCCTGACACTGTCCCTCCAGCTCTGGTACTGTACATCATTATCCTGAACACCACTCAGTAGAGAGGTAAGTAGATGATAAACTTGGCTGGAAGTTTTGTTCAGTAGCAATTTCCCTTAACAGTTTTAAAGCGTGATTTAAATATTTTTATCAGTTCCTTGACAGGTTAATGGGGTACATGGACAGGAGACTTCTGCTTTATCCCCTGCAGCCCTGACAATTTGAGGTGTTGCCTGGCTCAGCTCCTAGAGGAAGGAATAACTTGCACTTCTCTCCAGTGATTTCCTGATGCTCACTGGTGGATGGCAGACGTGATTCACTCCAGAAGGCACTGCTGAGTGCTCCCAGGTATCTGATCTGCCAAGGAAAGCTGGTAGCATCAGCTCCCATAAGATCTCCCTCTCCTGAGGAGAGGCTGGTGTCAGCCCCGAGAGCTGACATCGAATTGGGGAGTTTTGTTAGAAGCTGACTGAGAACGTGGTGCTGTTATTATCTGACACGGCTGAAACAAAAGCCAAACGTTGATGAATGTCTGATCCTAAAAGTAAACAGTTTGATTTTTTTTTTCCTTTGCGAGTCAGGGGCCCTCTAGGGTTTTATCTGATTTTGGCAATCTCCTGCACATTTTGGGGCCTGGAGCATGGTTTTAATTGTTACATCACAAAAGTTGCCAAATAATGTTGGATGCTCCTTAAAAACTCTCTCAATTTTATGGAACTTCTCAACGGCTTGACTAATACAATAATTACTGGAACTGGGCTATGTTGCCTAGTGGCAAATGGAATTTTTTCATAATGATCCTGTCTGTCGTTAATAGCAGGATTTGTTCTTTCTCTCAGCGGGAGAGAGGCCAGAAAGCCACGGTATCTGTCTTTTTTAATGACAGCCAACAGCAAACGGATAAAATAATCAATTATATCCACAGATAGGTAGATAAAGTGTAATTTATCATGTCAAAACCAAAAATGTTTTTAATTGGGCTGTTAATCATTTTGTAATTTTAACTAAAGAGATGGGGACTCTACTTTGTGTTCAGACATCACTAATATTTCATACAACATTAGCAGATCTTATTATAGCTTTAATAATAGTGTTTACCACTAACTGCCAAAATACAAAATGCGATTTCTGCTCTCATTAGCTGGAGCCTTTGCAGTTATAAAAGGATGCCCTTCCCTTCTATTTTTCTTCTTCTGGAAAGACCCAGAAGAAAAAAAAACAGGGTTCAGCAGACTGATCAGCTGTAACAGTTTTTAAAATATGCTGATCTTTATGTTTGGTTAGCAGTACCCATACTAGTTACCAACAAACATGTTACAGAAATTATGATATTTTACTTTTTTTTTTCTTTTTTAGAAAAAAGCATATAAAGAGATTAGTGTAACGCAGCAGAAATTGGAAGCTTGGAGTTTTGGTTTCTAGCCACACCTGCGTTGTCTTGTGGGAAGCTGGGCAGATCATTTAATCCCTCCTAACTTGTTCTCCATGTCTGTTATGTAGGGTATTAGATGGCTGCATCATCAGGTTGCTGTAGAGTATGGAGGTGTTGTAAGATTCATGTAAATTTGTAATAAAGATGGCAAACATCTGGATGGCTGGTGCAATAGCAGCCTCTCTGACAGCCACCTCTTTGAGGGAGGAAATGGGTAGTTTATGGCTGGACCTAAATCTTCCCCACATTATAACTGAGAATGTCCTCACAATGCTGCCTGGCTTCAGGATCAGTGAGGAATCCTGAGCAGGAAAACCTCTCGGCACTGAAGTGCTGTGGCTGTCCACACTTCTGTTATTGCCATGAGCAGATGCCCTGTGTGGGACCAGATCTCTATTTTACCTATAAGTTCTACATTAAAAAAAGGCCAGTCATGCTCAGAACAGAAATGTTGTGACCCCTTTGCCTCAAACACACTGAAATTACTTCCTTGCTTCAGAAGTGTTTTGCAAAGGCAAATTAACCTCCGTTCCCCTTGACTTGTTTTCCCTCTGAAAAGCTCTACCTGCCTTAAATGAAGACACAGCCTCCAGAGGACCTGCCTGGGAGCAGGATGTGCACTCAAGGTAGTTTGGCCAGGGCAGATTTCACTTCCAGTGTTAAGGTGGACATTTTTGGCTGTGGGTTTGATTTTATGTCCACAGCATCTCCCAGCAATGCATGGAATACAGAGAGGGACAGCACTGCCCTTCCTGTCATTGGATCTTTCCTGGGAGTGAGGGAAAGTTAGTGGATTGAGTGGATTTTTTACAGGTCTGTGGCAGGATTGAAGCTGTCTTCATCCTGAGAAGCAGGGAGGGGAGGCTCTGGGGCTGGTTTGCCCGAGCATAAATAAATTGGAGGTGCACGAACATTCAAAAAATTCCCAGAGAGTCACGTTGCACAAGTTAATGGGCCTGGTGCCTTCACCTGTGCCAATTTTATGTGACTCTTAACTCTGGTGTTAAATAAAAACGAGGGTTGCTCTAATGACATCAACAGCCTTCAGTGCAGAAAGTATGCTGCTACTTTGATACAGATCCCCTTTTAAGGAGGACACAGTAGACAGCCAAGGCTTTTTTCCCATCTGTTGGGTGAATGTAACGATCCCCTGCTCAGAAGTGTGGTCTCAACAACACTCCTCCGCTCTCAGCATCACACTGGATGATTTTATTAAGAACATGGTTATCTGGTGCCCCTGCTTTTGCCACCTCGATTTTACTCTCCTTCTCCATTACATGAAAGGATGGAGAAGGGGGACATGAGTTGGCTGGGGGAGGGGAGAAAATAGCATGAGGAGGGGGTTAAAAGAACCAGCTGTTATGTGTGAGGTATCTGCTTTCTAATTGCTTCTGTTGGAATTCAGAGGGAAAAGGCACTGGCTTCAGTTAATTAATAAGGCAGGACTCACATAAACTCCAGCTGTGAGCACAGGACTGGTCTTTAAAGGATAAGCCCAGGAGGTGGGGCAGGGAGTTTGATTTCCTCACACTAAATCCCATCACATGCTGTTGGTAGTGTGTGTGTCCACTTAAGCCTTTTGGTTGGCCTGTCTGAACCAGACAGGAGGTGTCTGTTGCTGTCCACGTGCCTCACTCCAAGAAAAATGATCTGTCCTCAGAAATCAAAGATGTGAGGCTGTGTTTCAGGCTAGGGTGAAACTGCTGTGTTTTCACTCCAGTTTGGAATCCCTAAAAAGTGGGTATGTTTGGATCAAAGATTTTTGTTCAGAATTAACAAAAGCATGGGCTTTTGCAGCTGGACCCAGATACAGGTTTGCCCTTTGGTCCTCTTTTCTGTCAGAGGGTTTGGATTTGGCATCCTGTCAACATCTCTCTCTTCAAGGGTAGCACTGGTGGGGTGGTTGTGCAGCTGATGCCTCCAGACCATGTCCAAAGGCCATTTTACAGTTATCCCTTTGAGAGGAACAATGCACAGTTCATTTCTCTTTTTTTGAGAGGGGCTCAAAAAGATCAGGACTTTTCCTGAGTTACAGGAAAAGTTACAGACAATGCCCCTAAAACCCATATGAACATGCAAATGCCACAGTATTTCCTCATTTGGTCCTGTTCCAGGTCTTGCTGCCACAAGACATCCCTCACCACCACTGCAAGGTCTTTCTGGTCTGAGAACAGCTTGGGGTCTACGCTGAGACCAAAGTTTTCTTTCACTTCCCATGGGATAGCATCTCTGGGTTTCAAAGCTTGTTGTTTAAGTGTGTTATGTTAGGAAACAGTAGAATCAGAAAAAAAAGGTGGATGTTCCTATGTAGTTAAGAGCCTGTTTTTCCTCAGTGGTTGTGGAGGGAAATGAGCTTCCTGCCTAAGGTGAGATGTCATTTGCTGGATGGAAACCTTTGTGTCCCGGCTGGCCCGATCCCTTCGGTGCCACTGCTCAGGGCAGGTCTCTTCCAGGGTGATGGCTTTCCCTCCCTGCCCCTCTCCTGTCCTGGCACCATGCTCTTGCCTTGCATCAGCCCTGATGCTCCTCAGCTGAGTGCTGGGGTCAGCACAAGGGAGGGGACATGGCCACGGGGCTGCAGATGGGTTGGGGAAGGAGGAGCACTCCTTTCGGCACAGAGAGCCCGGCGGTTGGTGCTCACCCTGCCCTTCCTCAGGGAACCTCACAGCCCGAGCATCCCAGAGGATTCTGCTGTTTCACTGCCCCTGATTTCAGTGACAGCTCAGCCTGGTGTGGGACTAAACACCCAGGTACATGATTAGCCCCAGTCCCCTGAGCTGGACTTCCCACTCAGAGAGAAAACCAGCTCTGGGGTGTTACAGCACGGTTCCAAGTGAGCGAGGTGGGGCCTCGCTTTGCAAAGCTCTAGAAACAGCAGCTCTTTGTCTCCTCCATGTCTCCTCACCCTGAACGTGTTGCTGTTTTCAGAGGTTGGTTTCAAAGTGCTGATTCACAGCCACCAGCCCTATTGTTTTATCTGAGGAGATTAGGGCTGAGAATGTTGCAGTTTTGTAGTGAAAAGACTCCATTGGAAATAGCATAGCTGACATGAGACTGTTATTTATGCTCAAATAACCATCTCCTTTAAAGATGAGGAGTCTCTTTTTTATTCCTTTTCAAGTTTAGATCAAGCATGTATGAAGACAAACTCCCACTCAGCCTCCCTTGGCCCCTAATATTTTCATTTTGTTCTTCTTCTGCTCATTATTTTATGATTTTGTCCTTGACTGGAACATTTCTCTCTTGTTCTTCCTTACATGCACCATTGAAGAGGGAAAGGACTTACATATAGAGCTCAAGACTTGTGTAGCTCTTCAGCCATAAATAATGTTTTATACAGATTCTGAGATGATTAAATCCTTCTAGCTAGCCTCCCTCTTTCTTTTACGGCTCATCTGATTAGAGGAGACATATTCTTTTGAAACTTAACTATTTCTGTTTCACTTTTGCAAGCAGACATGAGAAGACAGGACCTGGCTGTATGCACTGCTGATCAGAACACTTGCCATAGGAATGCAGAAAAGCTTGCCTGCAAGAGAACTGATTGTTGGCATGGAAGAAAAGCTCTAAAATTCTGAGATGCAGTCGAGTTCCTGAATACAGGCAAGTCTACAATCGAAACTGAAATCTGTTTATCTGGGGAGATAAATGCTCTCAAAATACGCTTTTCTGGAGAGGCTGACAGGCACAAAATCAGGGAAGGGAATGCTCTGGTATGAGGACAGAGTTCTGCTCTGGCAGTAACTGATGTTGGACAGCTGTAGGAACTGGCCCACTGGGCTCTGTGCTTTGCACCCCGTAACTCCATACCCAGCTTCTTTTGATACCAGGCTCGGGCTTCCTGGAGCCAGGCATCAGCTTTTCCCTACAAATGCAGCCAAAGCAGCTGCTGCACTTTGCAGAGATCCTGAGACTGTAGTGCTGAGCTGCTCTTCCTTCTGCTTGCTGGGATCTGCTCAGCTCAGGCAGTTCCTCGGGGGAACGGCCAGTGAGTCAGGCCCTGTTGGGGTTACACACTGTGGAGCTGAGCACAGAGAGGAGAAATAGCCCCACCAAAGTGACTGAGAAGTGCTGAAAAGCCTCACAGTAGACAGCCTACACAATGAAATGATCTCTTCCAATTAGCCCATGGTCATCAGTGAGGCAAATCCTCTGCCTCCTGGGCCGGGCAGGGTGGTTTTAACAGTAGGCATAAATCTATTGGGTTTTTGTCCTCATGACCCAGCATATTCTGCCAGGGCAATGCAGACTCCAGAGAAGGAAGAGAATTTATGTGTACAATAAAACAACAGAGTTTCAGTGATATCAGCTGTTTGACGAACTTTAATATACATTTGCTATAAAACAGGCAGCAATTACCAGAATGTGATACCCAAATAAAAATCCATGATCTATTTGCACGACAGATCTTCGATTTACTCACATTCATGTGAAAGAGACACATAAAAATGATATCCATGCTTAAAATCACTTAGGAGCAGCCTGAAAGACCCCACAGTTGCAAGTGATACTGCAGTGCTTAGCTAATACTCATGTTTCGATGGCTTTGCCTTCATGATTCTTCCAGTGATTCCTTTATGTTTTCTGGGATTTTGCCAAACACCTGTGAATCAGTGCACAACAAATATTCCTCCCATTTAATTTAGCCTTGCACAGAAAGGCTATATTAGGCCTGATGCAGACCTAATCCCAAGGCTCTAAAGAGGTTTAAGGCACTCTGGTTTCACCTAATCCCGAAACCTAAACCAGAATCATTGAAAACCTCCACAGCACCACAGGAATGGGCAAATAAAGAGTTTCCACTATGAAATTATTAAAAGGACACAGTGTATCTTTTGGATTTGAGACCTAAAGCTTTGCCTAAGGAGCTTGGACTGTCCACAATAAAAGTGTTTATTTTGAAGGCAGGAGGTTGAAAGGTTTATTTGACTAGAGGGCCGATTTCACCCCTCCCACCCAAAAAAAGAAAAGGGGTGACTCCCCAGAAGAGTGGCAAATGGGAAAGGGGAGGAAGAAGTGACAAGGCAGGGGCAGCCCAGCAAAGCAGTGAAGAAAGTGAGGTTTCTGTTTAAGCCTCAGTCATGGTCCCTGTGAGAAAGAGCAAGAGCACAGCCCCTGGTGCACAGCTGGGCTCTTGGGTCCTGAAGTTCCTCACTGCAAACATGTAAGGAAAGAGTTATTTATGATGTAAGAAATACATTGCTGCTGTTCAAAATGGAGAATTTGCTCTTTTGAGATCTCTTACTGGTGGGAGATAACATGTAAAAACGTGCTGCAATGGAACTTTCAAATACAAATTGCATCCAACTGTAATAAATTCGATCTTCCATTAATTCATGTTAAATTAATTGGATTCTGTCATTCCTGAATTCTGAATTTTGGTAACCACCTTATCTTGCCACACAACTCATTATCTTTGTGTTGGGAAAGGGGTATTTCATTTTCCAGGCGACTGCAGGGAATATTAACTGTACCATACTCTAATAAACATCCAGCTCCTAACAAATTAAAGACCTGAAGCACACTGCACATGTGGTTTCATTATGCACAGCAATTTATAGCAATGATCTCCTGCTCTCAATCTCTTAATTCAAATCATTTCAGCAAAACATGTAGGGAAACATGGGGCTGTATTTGTGCATTATACAATCCTGAAGGTATTTATCCGTCCTTAGGACATTCCTAATAATGAAGGCATAACCTCCTCAGTGTGCTGAATGCCATGTAAAGCCCTTTAGAGCAGGGATTTAGGAATCCGTGTTTCTGCTGATGGGAAGTTTGATATGAGTAGAAAAGCAAGCTCCAGACTGACTTCCCAGACTCACAGAAAGTCTCCATGCCTTTGTCTGCACTGTGGTACTCTAGGTTTAATTCAGCTTTCAACGACTCTTTGCCTCCATAGGCAAAAATTATAGGAAAACTGAAAAGCATTAATTTTTCAGAGGTACCAAGCCTTCTAGATGGAATTGTAGCAGGACAGCCTTCTGAGAAAATACTGAAACGACAAGAGCTTTTAACTCCTAGACAGGTGACACAAGCAAAGGATGGTTTATTTGCTTTCCTTGAGCAAGTCGTGGTGTAGCTGAGGAGCAACAGGGGCCTCTTAAGGGGAAGGAGTGTGTTTTGTGTATGTGCCTACACTGCCTTTCCATCACCTGGCTCAGGGTGGATGGTGGGACATCAGCAGGGTCAGTCCCACATCTCCACATTTTTGTCCCAGCAATACGTACGGGGTTATTTAACTGGTGCCTGATTTAGTTCAATTATTTCACCTACCCAGTAACTTCCATTGGGAACCATTTCAGGAGGCAACTTCTTTATTTGCCTAAAGATGCTCTCCTGCAGGGCAGCACCTGGAAGACTTTGTGTGGCTGTGTGGCACTGGAATACTTGGGTCTTTATCGCAGAATAAACCCAGGCTGGCAGCGGAAGAGGCCAATGAATTCAGCCGTGCGGTAACCCCGCGCTCAGCAGAGCTCCTGGCAGTGGATGCGGTGCAGGGTGGGAGAGAGCCCCAAGCACAGCCCAGGGTGGGTGAGAGCCCAAAGCACCCCCAGCAGCTGCGGGGAGTCCCCCGCGTCACAGCCGGACCGAACCGCTCGATGGCACCGGCCCAGCCGGCTCAGAGCTTGTCCTCCGCGTGTCCCGGGAGCGGGGACGTGCTCCGTGAAGGCGGGGCCCTCCCGATTACCGAGCGAGGCCCCTCGCAGGACCCCGCGGCTGCGCTGCCTCTTCGTGCCGCCGCCGACACCGCGAGGCCCCTGAGCGGCCCCGGGACCCCCCGGCCGGGATCCCCACACCGGCCCCGGTCCGGCCGGGCCCACACGGCGCATGCGCGCCTCCCGCCGGCCCCGTGACGTCACGCGCGGGGCTCGGCGTCCGCCTGGTTCCCGCGGGGATCGCCGAATCATCGCTGCGCCGCTCCCGCCCCGCCGGCGCTCGGTGAGCGGGTGTGAGGGGGGAGGTGGGGTGCGGGGGGACGGACCAGGCCGCGCCGCCACCGCCGCGGGGAATCCCCGCTCGGCCGCGGGGCCGGGACGGCTGCGCTGTCACTGCCGCGGCGCAGCCTCACAGGCCGGAGGGGGCGGTGGCGCTGTGCGCACGCGCGGGGCGTCGCCACGGCAACGGGGGCAGCGTCACACCCCACACCCCCCGCGCGGCACCTCAGAGCCCGCACGGCCCCTCAGCCCCTCATGGCCCCTCATGGCCCTGCAGAGCCCTCATGGCCCCTCAGAGCCCCTCATGGCCCTGCAGAGCCCTCAGAGCCCCTCATGGTCCTGCAGAGCCCTCATGGCCCTGCAGAGCCCTCAGAGCCCCTCATGGCCCCTCAGAGCCCTCATGGCCCTGCAGAGCCCTCAGAGCCCCTCATGGCCCCTCAGAGCCCCTCATGGCCCCTCATGGCCCCTCAGAGCCCCTCATGGCCCCTCAGAGCCCTCATGGCCCCTCAGAAAGGGGGCCCCTCAGAGGCCCCTCAGAGCCCTCATGGCCCCTCAGAGCCCCTCATGGCCCCTCATGGCCCCTCAGAGCCCCTCATGGGCCCTCAGAGCCCTCCTGGCCCCCCGCGCGGGCTCTGCCCAGGTGTGCCCAGGTGAGGGCGGCTCGCGCGCTGTCGCCCCCTGGCGGCGCAGGTAGGGCCGGCACAGGCAGGGCCCGCACCGCGCTGCCGTGCTTGTCTTCCCCGGTTTTGTGTGAAAGTAAGGACATGCCTCGTACAGCTCCTTTAAATGCCACTTCAGAGTAGGAAATAATCCGGTTTCAGATTCAGCAGCTTCGTTTTGAAACGAACAAGGTAAAAAGCAGGCATGGGGTGTGCTCTGGAAAAAACAGGTGACACCAGGTGGAAATCTGTGTGTGACTTCTCTGGGAATTGTTTTGAGGAGCATTTCTCCACACTTTTTAGCACAGTCTCTTTGTGACTCGTCATTCTTCCGAAGCTCCTTCCATTAACCCCCAGTTTAGTAGCGTTTCTGTGAGGCTTTTAGAGAGGGCTCCATGACTGGGAAGCATTTCATTAATAATTTGTCTTGTCTGATAAATGACAGGGAGTACAAAGATTTTTTTTAAATTTTATTTTTAACTAAATTACTAAATTTTAAAAAACCGTACCAGAGTAACTTCTTGTTTTTTAATGATTTCTATTAACATTTTTATTGCTTTTATAGGTAAACTAGTTTTTTCTTGTTTCAAAAATATCCTGCAATCAGGAAATCTAACTCTGTTTGTTCTGGCTTGGGTATGTCATTATCAGTTATAAAGATTGTGCAGATGGAAATTATGTTGGTGCATGCACTGGAAGAGATGCCAGGTTCTAATGTCAGATAGATTGTCTGATTTTGGTTAATTGGTGTGGAGACTTATTTTTAAGCATTAGAATGACAGTGTTGGAATTGTAATGTGTTGGGGAGCAGACCTGTTGCCTAACTATGTTATGCCTTTTCTGACCCTGTTGACCATTTTGCAATACTGTGGGTTTCTTTTTGCAAAGAAATGCTGAACTACTGACCCATCTATGTTCTTACATTGTAAAGAAACACCTTTTTTTGGCCCTGTGTCACGTAGTACATGGGGCTGTGTTATGCTTTGTGTTTGTATACATTTTATTTTTGAGTTCTATTTCTCTGCAATAACAATGTCCTGTTTCACTGGATCAGTAATAACTGTCAACCAGTCAATGCTAATTAGCTCATACAGGAGACTTAACACCGAAGATTCTGACTTTTCAAAATTATATTCTATGAAACACTGTCTTCATTGGGGAAAATAGCTACTATTGTTGCTCCTCTGTAATAAATTGCTTTGTTGCAGCCGTGTTGGACTATGGATGTATGGTAGTGAGATTTCTGAGGCTGTGAAGACAAACTTAGTGAATGATTTTTAAAAAAAGGCTGATCTTGTCTTTTTGGACTCCTCCTTTGAGTTGTAATGCCGATACTTTACTCTTGTCCACACTCAGAATCTCAACACAGTATAACATGTTCGTGTGCGTGTCTTTACAAAGGACAGAGGCAAGTTTTGTGGCAGTAACAGTGTTTTGGTCCCCAAAATATCTGTGTGGATGGATTTATACTCTCTTGGTAGGAATGCACTTTGACTGCACTAGAATATACTTGGTACTGCAAATGAGGGGTTTCAAATTAGGAGTGGTCTCTGTGGAGCAGTGCAAGCGATCACAAAACGATGGGAAAGAAACAAATCTACAAAAAAACCTGCACAATTTTTGCCCAAGCAAGCCAGTTTCCTTTTCAGCTCTGTGCTGGCACAGTTTATGATTAAAAGTGCATTTTTTTTTTCTGTTCATAAGCAATAAAAATAATTTCACAACTGTAATGAACACACTTCCTGTGGTACATTTTAATTATATGCAGCTAATGATGGCGTAGCTCGTCATTGCAGAAATTGTCTCAGTGGCATTTATGGCTCGGTGTAAACGCTCATATATCACAGGCTGGTTTGAAAGAACCCAAGCTTTGAGAGATGTCAGGTTTGCAGGGAAGTGACTCATCAACAATAGGTGTGAGGTAGCAAGGGTAGATTGTGGAGCATGTTCAGGCTACAGATATTGGAGTCAACAGGTTGGCTTAAAGAAGAGGTGTTACTGGTGTCATTTACAAAACCATATCTTAGCCTTGAAAGTTTCCAGACCACTCAACTGGGGAATCCAGGCTGTGTCATGATTCAGAAGTGTTTAATGAATCAGTGTCTTCTGCACCTCGAAAGTGAAAGTTATAGGGGAAATCACCTTTTTTATAAATGGATTTACCAGCGCAGGTCTTTAGAACTGTAACATCATACTGTGAGCAAATTAGAGTCATAGGAGCTAAAAATCTTCTAGTCAGCAAATTTTCTCTTTCATGATTTATTTTAAAGGTCAGAAGGTGACTGTTACAGTCAAAAAATAGTTATTTGTACAGGAAAACCTTCCCAGATGAGGTGCAACCCTGTCCTAAACCTCTGAATCTGCAGCCTAGGTTTCCCAGAGCTGCTGGGTGTAAGGTAAAGCTGAGCAAGAACTATTTGAAAGGAAACATAGACTTATGTTTAGCTTTTCTTTTTGTTTTAGTTATTCTGTAGTTTTTTCAGTAGATGCTAAATTTATTTGATTTAGGGGAGAGAAGGATTTTACTTTAAAACATACCAGATAGGAATCTTAGGACAGACTTTTTGCACTCAAACAGCTGGAGCAGCTGTAGATTCCCCACTGAAATGAAAATGCAACAATTCAAGATTTAGAAAGGCAAAAAGTGTGACCAGAGCATTAAATAGAAGGGCCATATGATACCAAAATTAAGCTCTGTGTTTATTATAAAGAAAATCCTTGTTGTAGAAGGGAAAAAAATGAACTTGTTCCACCACTTTCTTTTTTCCTCAGGAGAAAACACAGAATATATCCTAGGTAATAAATCTGTTTTATGGCTCACATGAGAAAGGGTGGAGAAACTCCCATTATTTTCTTCCCAGAAATTGAAACACACATGAGCTAACATGGGAGACACTGGGGTTTTCATCCAACCAACGCACAGCTGGCTTCTGCTTTTATTATTTTCCTAAGCCTAATAATTTTTCATTTGATTAGCTGGTGGCTGACAAAACTATCACTTGCACAGTGTTTTGTATATTTAGTAGAGTAGGTGTGATGCGGAAAAGATATTGTAATGCTTACCCAGAAGCATAGCACAACCTGTTCAGTTGATGGGAAATTTCTGCTTGCAGGTTTCTATCATCAGGATTTGAGTTTGTATATCAAGAAAGGAAATTCTTGACAGCTAGAAACAGGAGAATTGTTTCTTAACTCACATTGCGGACTTGCATGATGCTCTGCACACGAATAAACTGTCAGGTATCCATTGGCAGTCCACGGTGCCAGTTTTGCCATGAGAAAGTGGTGAGACTATTTGAGAGAAAAAAAGTCCTAGTTGGTGTTAGGAGGTGGGAGAAGTAGAGCTGCAAACAAGATGCATCAAGGATTTTGACTCACACAGCGTGAGTTGTGGAGAGACCCACGGACACACATAATGTGAAAAAAATCAACAGCCACCCACAAACCCAGCCAGACAATAAGACAGTGATAAAGGGGGCACATCCATAAATGTGGGAGGATTGGAGCTGTTTAGGAAGGAGGTTGCTCAGAGCCATGGCTGTGCAGACCCCTGTAAAGCCATGGCTTCTCACTTTGAAATCAGGAGGGAGAGTGGCCTGTCACAGAACTCGTCTGTGTGCCTTCTGCAGAATACAGAAAACATATTCCAGAACCCAGTATCCTGTTTTGCACTGAGCATTAGTACCAGGGACAAAGCAGGGTGATTTCTGTTGTGTTGACTGCTGGTGTTTGAAGTGCTAAGCTGTGTTGCTGTCTTTGTGTTCCGGCAAAGCAATGCTAACACCTTCCCTAAGTAAGCAGCAGGGGAAGAAGAATGCAGTTTTATCCCAGATTGGTGGATCTGTATCATCCAAGTGTTTAGTATGTTATTACTGTTATTTTCAAAAATTCCAAAACAACTTGACGTGTTTTGGGGCAGGAGAGAATGTGGGCTATCTGCTTCCACTCAAATATTGTGTTATGACTTTAATTTGTAGTCATTTATAAATGGTAGATATTCAAAACCATGTAAGAAATTTCTAAGTGAAATTACTTTGAAGCTACAGGTTCATTGCATAGCCAAACCTCTACTTTTTATGTCCTTTCATCCAGTGGCTGGCTGGGGAAGGAATGATTTTGTAAGGACTAGTAAAATCTCTGTCCTATGTATCTATGTCCTGACCTCGCTCCATTACACTCACTAAATAATTGTTGGCAAGTTCAAGCTCTGTAACTAGAAGGTTATGACTTTGCTAAATGCCATGAGCCAATATATTTTCATGGATAAGGAAAATTACTTTAATGGAAAAACATGAGACTACTGGAGTGGCAGTAGATCATCATGGGAACTCTCTTTTAGTCGTATCTCTCAGAGGCTTTATGCTGCTGGGGATCAGAATACCTGGGGTGTGGGGCTGTTCCCTGGGACATGGAAGTGTGTGATGCTGTGTCAGAGATGGCTGGTCCCCACTGGGTCTTGCCCAGTGTGAAGGCCCAGGTAACAGTCTCTCCAAAGGAGGTGTGACCAGTGCAGCCGCCTTCACTGTCTGCCTCCTCTGTCCTCAGTCTGCCGTGGCAGAATGTGCTTCTCTGGCCTGCTGCTATTTAGCTGTTTGCTCTGATAGATTTTCTCTTCTGTGATGGGTCTGTTTGACCTTCCGAAGCTGTACTTTGAATTCTTGCCCCTGCGTTAGACCCTTTGATTGTTCTGTTCTCTGACGTTTGAGATGATGCCACCTTGGTTCCGAGCTGGGTGAACACATCCCTGGGGCCTGTTCCTGACGCGCAGCTGGGGCTGCTGCTGCGCAGGAAAGGCCCTTGGAGCAGGAGTGGCTTCCCTGGTGGCACACCCCTGTCCTGCAGCACAGCACCGGGGCTTGTTTTTGGCACTCTGACCCCGGGTTCCAGGGGTTCCTCACCCAACTTGCAGGAGGTTTCAGGGAGGGAGAGAGCTCCTAGTGCTGTGCCCCAGGAAGGGGTGATGCTCAGTGTGAGCTGCAGCAGGGTCTCCAGCCTGGCACGGTTATCTGTGCTCTGTGTGTGAGATTTGCCAGGTCTGCCGTGGGCAACACTGACCTTATGGAACCAGGCTCTCAAATCTGAGAGGGACTGGGAACATGTGAAACAGGCAGGACTTTTTACATCTTTTTTTCTAGTTGTGTGTTTAGGCCTCCATCATTTCCCTTCGACAATTGAGGGTGTTGGTTGCTTCC